CCCCATACATTTGCCTTGGAGAACTCACACAAGGCAAGCTCTCACATGAAGGTCAGAAGAAGCAATACAAGGACATTCTAAAGGTCTCTCTCAAGAACTTTGGAATCAATTGCAAGACATAGGAGACAGTGGCACAAGACCACTCAGCACAGTATGCCTGCATCAAAGAAGATTAGGTGAAGCAGACAAATTTTAGGGCACCTTTCCTGGACCCTTTCTTACACCAAGAGGTGAGTAGTGTGGTCCTTTAAAAAGGCTGCTCAGACTTCCAGGTGACTACTGAATCCCATTGCTGCTTCAGTACGATAAGAAGATAACTCTATGCCCTTGGCCACCTGTGCACAAGGTTGTGATTTCAACTTCCAGTGCATCCACACCTGCTGCTTTGTCACTTTTCCCTTGCCACAGGACGTTGAGGTATGTAAAAATGGTAAAAGGTATGGGTGGTGTCTTTTGGCTTGTGAATATTTAAGTGAGTCAGAGTTGCCCAACGTCACTGGCCTCACTCTCTTCCACAGTAATTGGAGTCCAGTGGCAAAACAAAAGTTGAGAAGACTGGCAATGGCTCATGATGCAGTGGATGACCTTCAATATCTTACCAAGCTCTAAGCATTCCATAGTGCCTGCTTCTGCTGCCTTCATGGCCTGCTGGAACAAATTGTTCACATCTGCCTATTCCATGTGAAGGGAATAGGATGGACTCACCCATAAAATGGAAGAAGACAGCATAATGGATTAGAAACCAGAATCCAACAATATGTTGTTTACAAAAAACACACTTGAATAGCATCCAAATTCTTGAAGGAAAAGTTAAATGAGTTATAAAAGGATACTTAGAGAACTATAATAGTGGGGAACCTCATTTTACCTATCTCAGACCTAGGTATAGTTAACCATAAAGTAAACAAGAAAGAAGTTAAGGAGATCAATAGAATTTTATAGAAGTTAAATATGATAGCCCTCCGGAGAATATTGAATATTTAGAAAAATAGAAACTGTCAAACTAACATAAGAGGAAATAGAATGCTTAAATAACCTTATCTTAGAAAAGTAATTGAACAAGACATAAATGTGCTCCTTAGGAAACAATTCCTAGGAGCAGATAGATTTACAAGCAAATTCCACCAAACATTTAAAGAATAATTAATTTCAATACTACATAAACTGTTTTAAAAAATAGTTAAGGAAAAATGGAAAAAAATTTTCTTCTATGTCACAAATGTGATTTTGATAAACTTGGGCGAACAAAAACAAAAACAAAAAAAACTATAGACCAATTTTACTAATGAATATTAATGCAAAAATTCTAAATAAAATACTAGCAAGGAGATAATAACAATATGTCACAAAGATCATGCACTATGACCAGAGGAAATTTATACCAGGAATTAAGGGCAGTTCAATACTAGGAAAACAATGAGCATAACTGACCATATCAACAACAAAAACAACAAACATCATATTTTTAAATAGATGCTGAAAAAGCTTTTGAAAAGACACAATACCCATTCCTATTAAAAATAACTAGAAAGCATAGGAACTCATAGAGCTTTGCTTAAAATGATAAACAGTATCTATCCAAAACTAAGAACAGCATTATTGATACTAGGGGTAAACTAGAAGCCTTTCCAGTAAGATTAAGAGTGATGCGAGGATGTCATTATCACCATTATTATTCAGTATTGTACCAGAAATGCTAGTTATAGCAATAAGACAAGCAAATGAAATCAAAGGAATAAACACAGGAAACAAAGAAACAAAATTATCACTTTTTGCAGATGATATGGTAGTTCACTTAGAGGACCCTAGAGGGTCAACGAAAAAACAAGTGAAAAGAATTAGCAACTTTAGGAAAGTTAGAGAATATAAAATAAATCCACCCATCAAAATTTCTCTATATTACCACCAAAACCCAGTAGGAAGAGATAGAGAAATTCCATTTAAAATACTTGACAGTATAAAATACACGTGAGTCTACTTGCTAATCCAACATAGGAACTATATAAACATAATTAGGAAACATTCTTCATAAAAATAAAAACAGATCTAAGCAATTAGAGAAATATTAATCACTCGTGGGTGGGCAGAGCCATATTAAAAATTATAATACCTAAATTAACTTACTTATTAAGTGCCACACCAATCAAACTACCAAAGAATACAATAACAGGACAAGAGTAGGCCTTTTCTAGCTTCCAAAGAGGTGAGGGAAGGGTCTGGTCAAGGCATACCATATGGGAATACTTTGAAGCTTGAAAGTTCTAGCCACCTCCACAACAATCTTTCATCCCTCTTGAGCCTTGGGAACTGACATTCACAGTTATTTGCCTCAGGATGAGGCTTTTCCAGGAAAGCTGCACTCCAAAAGCTGGTGCCTAAAACTGCAACTGTCATGATTGAGCCAATACCTTTGAGGGGCACAATTATGTAGTGATGTAGTCAGATAGTGCTGTTTTTTCAAGAATTACCTTGTAGTGGCTTTTTATTTCTTCTGCTTGGCATTTTCTTTTCAATGGCATTGATGGGCACCTTTATTATTGATCTGAAGGGCAAAGCATGGAAATGCTGAGCCTGAAGTTGCCCTTAGTCCATCATCTTCCCAGGATATACTCTTCAAAATTTTTCAGAGACCATTATCACTGGCTCAGAGGTCAATTTTTGCTACTCCTTACACATGACTCATTTTATCTCCCATCATCATGCCTTCACATAGGGCTTCCCCAGTGCCCAGAATGCACTCCCCACCACATCTTAGAATTCCTACTTTCCTTCAAAGCTCATCTCAAACATCACTTCCTAAATCAAACCTTTCTTAGTCCCCTAGTTGCTAGTACCCCTAACTGCTACTCAGAGATCTTGCTCTCTCCCTCCTAAATGTACATGCCCCCAAACTACCTTGTATTTATTTTATATATGAATATATATTATTATATATGTAGATGCGTGTTTGTGTGTATTATGTCTCTCCTGATAGAAACTGATTCCTGATAGAATAAAGACCCTTGCATTTTTATATTTATATTTCTTGTATTTAGCAGAGTTCCTGGAACATACGAGGCACTTAATAAATGTGACTGATTGATTCAATCTCTTAGTACCCTGGAATGCAGTTTCATGCCCTGGAATGTGATTCTGGTGATTTGAATTTGAGAGTAGCTAGGGTATGAGAGGTCTCAATTTCTTTTTAATTATATTCGTTATTTCCTCTCCAATCTGAAGTTTACTCTGCTTTGGCAAATAAATCTAGCATTCAAAAAGATCATTCCTGCTTCTCCAGTTTCTATGTAACTTTCTACAATGAGTAGCTTAGATATATGGCCTCTTCTACATTATAAGCCATGTGCTCTTCAACTGTCTGCAAACTAGATTCTGTCTCCACTACTGTACTAAAACTTCCTATAAGAGCACCACTAATAAACTCATGTTTTTTAATTTAGACCTTTGTTTAGTGCCAGTGCTTAGCATAGTGTCTGGCACACAGAAGGCACTGAATTAATTCTCAATGACTTGACTTCTTTGGCAATAGTTTTCTTCATGTCTTATCAGCTCCCTACTTCACTTCCAAGGTGATTATTCCAAACCTTCGATATTTTCAAGTCCCCATTCCTACCACTCTCAGCAAATAACCTTACTCCTGACTTTACTTAAGACAGAAGCCAACCAACATAAGTTCCTTTAACTCTTATCCTCAACAGCTGACCACTTTCCTGCATTTTTACGTCTTCACTTTCTTCCCTCTGGTATTAGAGAAACAAGTCCTATCCTTCTTACCTCATTCCTCTATCTGTGCCATTGGTCCTATTCCTTGCATGTCCTCAGCGATCATGCTCTTCTTCCTCCTCTTGCATCTTCAACATCTTCCTCTCTACCCTTTTCTTCCCTGTCACATATAAACAGGAGCAGGTATCTCCTATCCTAAATAAACTTCCCCTACTCTTACCACTCCCTTGAGCTAATTTCTTCTCTCCTTTGTTTCACTATCAAAATTCTAGAAAGAACAAATAGCTTTTACACACACATACACATGCACATACACACACACTCTCACTCACAGCCTCTACTTTCTCATAAGCCCTGTGCTCTTCAACTCCTTGAACACTAAATTCTGTGCCTACCATTATACTAAAACTGCTTGGACTATTTGTAGAAGATCGACTTGGACAACTCCAGATAAACAAATCACCTTTTCCCCACAAACTGGTTATCTACTTCTCTGCCAGTGGCATTTTCTTCTTCAAGTCATTCACTCTTGGATGAAACCTTGGTCAACCACTCCTTTCAATTACTGCTGTTATAATTCTAATCCAGACCCTCATCAACACTCTTATGGATTACTGATTAACTAGATTAAACTACCTGAAACACTTTCTATGATTTTCTATTTCCAGGCCTTTGCCCACAGAATTTGCTTTACCTTTAACATCCTGCTTCCCACCACAATCTTTTTCTTTTGAAATTCTATCCATCCTTCAAGGTTCAACTCAAATGCTAACTTCTCCATAAAGCTTTCCCTAAAATAGACAATCAGAAGGTCTATTCCTTCACTGCACTCTTATATATTTTGTTTTTTATCTCTCATATATTAAATATAATATATGTGTGCATAATATCACTCTACCTTGTATTGTCATACAGATTCCTGCATGCACATATGTATACATGCATGCACACACATCTAATTTCCACCACTAGATTATAAATTCCTAATGGATAGGAACAACTACTCCCTCAGTAGTTCAGTAACTTGTACAAAGTAGGTGCTCCATAAATGTTTGCTGAATGAAAAAATAATTATTTCCTTAAGGCCAGGCATAGGATCTAAGATGTCATGGATAAAAGACATATAAAATGTTTGCCTTAGATTGACTAAGTTATGTTGTTATGTTTTATGACTAATGCTAAATCAAGGAAATTAGACCACAAAATTATTTCATTTCTTACCATTTACAAGTGAGAAATCTAACAAAAGTTTGAGACAAATACATTATTACTTCAATCAGTTTAGTTTCCCAAATATTTTATTTTGATAAATAGGTAATAAATATGATTTTTCATACAGCAGTTTTATATAAAAAAGTAAAAAATATTTGTTTTTTCCCATGTTTTTATTTTCTATCATCTTGTCAAATGCTATTTGGGGTTCCATCATACTGTAGTAGAATTTTGACTATCATCAATTCTACTTCCTGTTTGGCATCAAGGCATTAGTACCTTCCAGAAGGCTTTGCATGTTTTGTATAAAATGTGTACACGAACCTGAAAGTGCACAATATCTCTCTGAATCAAGCTCTTCTAACCAGGTAAGTATCAGAATTGAAATGGAGGAGTACAAGACATTCATGTGCAGAGAAGGAGGTGCACCAGATTCTCCAGACATTTTAAATAATAGACATTTAATGAGTTTGCATCAGGGTCTGGGATAGCTATAAGAGACAAATGAGAGAAAACAAATCTGTTGAAATTAATACTATATGTGAAACTTTAAAAGCATCCTTAACATCTACTTGGAATTCAAAATAAGATAGCAATAAATGATATAAATGTTTTATCTATAAATACTATAATATGTATATATACACATATTCCTTAATTTTATTTCTCTGAAAAGAAGACTTGGTGAAGGTTTCTGTACACTTTGCCTACTTAGGAAAATGGAACAAAACAACTAACTACCTCCCTTGAACAATTTACAAAATATAATCTCAAATGCATAGCACTGCTCCAAAAACACTCTCTTCAACACTGTGGTATTGGGTATTTTTAACCAGCTCTAGAATTTATGCTCATAGCTTGCAAGAATGATGTTTTGAGCTCAACTATGAAGAAACAAATAAATGGCCAGCAGAATCCTTTGGACTCTGGAAAAACTAAATTCAAGGTCCATGACTTAGCATAGAAAGTTGAGCTAATGATGCTCAGAAAGAATTTACAATTCTAGAAAAAATTTTTAAAAAGAAAAAGTCATGGTAAGCCCATATCTCATAGCACAATCAAACTGACAAGATGACATATTAGATATAAGAGTAAAAGTCTTTTCTTGTCATACAATAATTTAACAAACTGATGTCAGATCAGAGTTTGCTGTTCAAGGTCAATCTTAATTGGGCAGTAGTTTTTATCACACAAAAACCTTTCCTTAGCACACTGGCAAAAGAAATAGAGTAAGGAAAAACTGACAGAGAAGAATCATAGCCAAATTTTATGAAATGATGACACTATAAACATTTGCCAGCAGATTTTATTGCTAAAGGCTTAATTTTCAAAAGGATGGACAACCAATAAATATCTGCACATTTGCAAAACATCATTTTAGCAAATTGACATTTTGCTGTGCCCTGCACAAAGGCTTATTTAGTCAGAAGTCAGCATCGATGGTTATCATCTTTCAAACTACAGCTAGAAACTTTCTAAGAGAGAAACTTACTTTTTTTTGCTGAAGCATAAGCTTTATCCACTTTTCTTATTATTGATGGAGTTTTCAAAGTTGCTTTTGCCTGTAGAAAATATAGAGTACTCCAATAACTACATTTATTCCCACATTATAAAGCTCAAGGTGTCATGGGATATCTTCTGTCAATAGTGAGCTATGTTATCAAATAAGAAACAGATTATAATAATGCAACTAGAGATTTATATGTAGAGAGGGGAAGTGAAGAGTGGGCAAGAGAATATGACACCATGATGGCATACAAATCTCTAGCTGAATTATTATAATCTATGTGTGTCACACATGCACGTCCCCATACATACCCATGTGCATGCAAGCACACACAGAGTGCAAAATTATCCCAAATATCTTAGAGCAGACTAAAGAAAATATATGAAAATCTGCAAATAGAATCATGCAAGATGAAAATCTAAAAAAAAAAAATGAAAATCTAGACCATAGGGCCAAAAGTGGTTAGAGCTATGGCTTAAAGAATATTGGTCAAGGCAAGGTTATAGAGTTACAAGGCTGTTAGTCAAAACAATCTATAATCACCTCATGACACAGTGAAATTTACAAAGATAAAATTAATGCAGAGTGAGACTCTAGACCCTTGGCTGAATCTGTCATATAAAGGTGGACCATGACCACACTCATTTGTGAGGGAAGAAGAGAGTTTTCATTTTAGAATTTGTGATATATAAGGAGAGGAGAGAGGGTCTGCAAGTAGTCTGACATACACCCTAGATTTTTAGAGTAAAATTCAAAGAATTGAAATTCATATAGGTTAAAATTTATGGGGCAAATTGACTCGAGAAGGATAAGATACTATCAATTGGAAAATTCTTATGAAAAAAATTATTCTCATAAGGAAGAATTCCTCAACAGAATGATGTGCCTCTAAAAGTAACTCAATAACCAACAAAACATGTAGAAGATGAACATGAAGGAAGATAACTGAGGAATAATACAAAGAGGGATTTTTACTGTAAGAATTATGTCAGAAAAGCTAAAAAACAAAATGAACTAATGTCTGCTATAAAGACAGAAAGACAAAAAGGGCTGGCTATTTTGTTTAGTTTATTTAAAGCTATGCTTGGGGGAAGAGGAAGATCAAAAGAGAAAAGGATTTTGGTCTAGGCAAAACTAGAGGATGTGACAAGATGCTAAGGCACTGGGGGAAGATATTTGAAATGTGAGAGGAGCTACAGCACTGGAGACAAGCAAGTGTGAACCTAATTTATGAAAAAAAGAGATCATTTCTTCAAAATCTCAACTAGTGAGCTCCATTTTGATTTCTGGCAAAATATCAGAGTGTATTATTAAAGAATAGTTTGAAAACATTTAAAAAGAGAAAAAATGATTGTGAAAAACCAAGACACATTCACTAAGAACAAGTCATATAAACTAATTTTATTTTTGTTTCTGGCTGCATAGATTAACATAGACCGGTAAATCAGGGGAATGACAAGACATAGCAAACAGGAATTTCACTGAAGCATTTGGAAAAGCCTTTCTGGATACTTCTGTAAGGATGCTGAAGAAATGTGAGCATTGAATAGCCTCAAAGAGTGGTCATTGATTATAATGGGGATGGAAGACTCATGTTTGGGAAGAAACTGAGTTCCAAACTATGCTTGAAGCTTCCCAGGGGTGGGGATGACTATTTTTCAGGGACACTACAGAGAAGAGTCCTTCTAAGATATCCCATCTCTGAACTCCGGGCATTTTAATTGGTTGTCCCCCAACTGATGGAATACTCTCCCTCCTCATATCTGCCTGCTGGTTTCATTCATGTACCACCTAAAATCTCACCTTCTATAGGAAGCCTTTTCCAATTCCCCTTAAATCTAGGGTCTTGCCTCTGTTGATTATTTCCTACTTATCCTACATAAAGCTTGTTTGTACATAGATGAATTCCTTGAGGGCAGGGATTGTCTTTTTCCTTTGTATCCCCAGCATACAGCACAGTGTCTGGCACATAGTAGGCATTTAAAATGCCTGGAGTTGGGAGATGGAATGTATTTATGCAAGCCAGGGGAGATAATAACAGAATCATATGGATGGTAATAATAACAAACTTAATAAATGTTTATTGACTGATCTTTTAGGTCTCTTCCAAATATAATTCAATAATTCTACAAAAGTACAGAACGATTGTCTATTTTATATGCCTAATTTCTTTAAATAGAATCTTTGACTTCTTTTAATAACTCCCAAATCATTACCATCCATATAATTCTGTTATTATCTCACCCGGCCTGCATAAATACATTCCATCTCCCACCTCCAGGGATTTTAACTGGCTATCCCCCAAAGGCATGGAATACTCTCCTTGTATCCACCTTCCAGCTTCCCTGGCTTCATTCATGGAGCAGCTAAAAATCTCATCTTCTCTAGGAAGTCTTTCCCAATCTTCCTTACTTCTAGTGCTTTCCCTCTGTTAATTACTTTGTAGTTATCCTGTATATGGCTTGCTTTCATTAGATTATAAGCTTCTTGAGGGCAGGGGTTATCTTTTTGCCTCTTTGTATATCCCTACAGCTTAAGATAGTACCTGGCACGTAGCAAGTGATCAATATATGTTTATTGATTCACTGTAATGAAAAACTAAAAGTAAAGGAAGGAATGAGAAGTACCCATTCACTTTAGGCACCCAATGCCTTAAAAATATAGAACTGGATTCATTATTAAATTCAGATATGAAACAATATTTCCTGAAACTAGGTCAACTTCTACTATTACGGTATATTTTACACTCTCAAGTAGCTTTTAGGAAAATATGTGTTCTTTGCAAATAGTTTGTTGAATTGAATAGTACTGTAACAATATTGCCTATAATTTACACTAAGTAAGTAAACAAACTAAAAAAAAGGTATTATTCTAGAATATTTAAGTGATCAAATTTTATTGATTTCATTTGATGTATCTGTAGTTTATTAATTGTATGGATGCACACAAATGATATGAGTAACTTATTTCCAGGTCTTTAGTAATTCTGGGTGCATTTTAGAAACCTTGACTTTCTTTTCCCCATGCCCTGATTAAATAATGTCATCAAATACTGACCTTGTGATTATTGTAAATGAGAGCCCAAAGTGCAGCTGCTCCGATTCTCTGAACATTTCGATTGTCACTTTCCAGAGAAGCAGATAGCAATGAAATAACTTTATCTAATGAAGAAATAAGATTTTGTTACTAAAAGCACTTCATATACATCCCATTCTGTCTTTTCTGTGATTTTGGGTTACGTTATGAGTAATAGAAAAATGATAATATTATTTTATATTTTATATATTTGGTATAGCACAGTATATATAGTATAGTATATATTTTTATATATAGTATATATATAGTGCATATATATATTACATATAATATATGTTATATATTTTAATATATAACAATCTTTAATACAACATGGTCTATTGAAAGAAACTTCAAGAAAAATTTAGCTCCTTTTCTATGCAAAAGATCAGTAAAGAGTACATTTTCACATTCAACTGACTTTTTTTTACACTTCAGTACCATAACATCTCCATCAACTTTCTTCCTTTTATTAATACCTCTACTAACAACAATAATAATAGCTTTAAGATTTACAAAGTGCTTTACGTATATTATCCCATTTGATAATAATTTGCTCAACATAGGTACACTCGGTTTAAAGGAAACCTGTTTTGCAGAAATGGCAAATTATGATGATGATCCTTTTTTACTATACTTCAAGCCTGTTATGCAGAAAAAATAAACTAACCCTCAACATTACTGAAGACTACTAAACAAGCACAAATAAATTACTAGCAAGGGCTATTAAATGAGAAGACAATTAGGAGATATCGCATATGATAAAACATTTTTATAAAGTTCAGCGTTTGAAAAAGGCAATATTTATCTTGTGACAGAGATAAAAACTTAAGTTTAAAGAACCAAGCAACATAAAGGGCATAAAGGTACTTTACAATATTCCAAATCCTATTTCCAAAAAAGAAAACATCAACTAGAATACTATTTTAAATTTATTATAATTTGTACTTTGTGATAACTTTCCCTGACCCCATTTGTGGTTTTCTTGGCCAAGATACTGGAGTGGTTTGCCATTTCCTTCTCCAGATCATTTTACAAATAAGGAAACTGAGGAAAATAGGGTTAACTGACTTTCCCAGGGTCACACAGCTAATAAGTGTTTGAGGCCAGTTTTGAAATCAGAAGATGAGACTTCCTGACTCCAGGTCTGGTCCTCTATCCACTGCACCACATTAGCCACCCTTATTTCATATATGTGATTTTTAAAAGGTTTGCAACATGCTTTGATAAATTTGTGATTTTATCAGCATAAGTGGGTACTCTCACCACTACTCCTGATGCATTTTACATTTTATTTTACGCCAACACTCAGGGAAGTATTGATGATTTCTAAAGTGTAATTTTTTTATTAACTATTGGGGAAAACATTTTTCCACTGTAAGTCACTTCTAAGTTTATTTTCTTTTAAAATCAATGAGTAAATAAGATCCTACTTGGGGAAACTGGGTTTACAGTCACTTTATTTTAGAAACACATCTATTCTGTAAAGTGAAATATACTTGTATACTTGTAGTTAATTTTTCCTACTTCCCATTCATGTAAAATGCCAAGCCCTTCATCTGCATTTTCTTAATCTTTCAAGTGGCTATCTCTTTACAATTGTATGTGTGTGTGTGTGTGTGTGTGTGTGTGTGTGTGTGTGTGTGTGTGTGTGTGTAAGAAGTCTTTTTGGACTACTCTGTATATACACACATACTAAAAAAAAAAATACAACCTAAAAATTCAGGCTTTATACACAACAGATTGAGAAAAACAAAAGTATGGCATATGTGACCCCCAAAAGGTAATTTCATTAATGCACTCCTACAATGTTGTTGATGAGGATATTGTTAGAAACTATTCATGTGTTATAAAATAAATCTCTAAATATTTAAAAACAAGATGACTAAAACCAAAACAGAAAAATTTAATTACTAGCTCATGCAATTCCCTTCCCAGAAACTATTCTTGAGTTTTTAAAACTGTTGTAGTTTTTAAAATTCTCCCTAGGATATGTTTCCAATATAGTCCACTTATGATATGACAGTTATAACTGCCCTGATTTTTTTTTCTGGTTCTATTTTCAATAGTGAAGTAAAATTTTAGCATAATCAATCTTAGATTATCTAATCCAGGGCTCTCTAGTCAGAAGATGAAGATTTGCTCTACTGGAAGATATAGATTAGTTGACAGATCTTCAAAGAGATTGTTTCAGCCACATTCCATTTCTGAAGTTTGCTATGGCTCCCACTGAAAAAGGCGTATATTTTTGAAATCCTAGCTTCTACTCTGACCCCAATCCTCATGAGCTCCAGTCTTCATAGAAATGAAAAGCAGTCTCTCCAGGAAAACTGATACAGGAGGAGTAGCCTCATGATGATAACAGAATAATACATAATGAGGTAATCTTCCTGTTGTTTTTCTAGCTGCTATAGCAGTACCTAAATCCTATAGACAAAGAGATTAAAAAGTAGAACATCTGAGCCCTTTTCATTTCTCAAAACAATGACATTTATGGAAAGATAAAGAGAGGCAATAAACAGCTTCAATACAAAAAGTCCCCACAAAAAACAAACAAACAAACTATATAACAAATGTGAGCCCTGGGGGAAGGTAGCTTCTGGAGACATGTAGACACATAAAAGGGGAAGCATATGAAAAGGAAATAACAAAATAGCAGGATAGCCCAACCAGTATGATAAAAAGAGGACCAGTTAGCTTGTTTTGGGAAGGCACAATGGGATTTATAAAAATTTATAATAGGATAATCAATATTAATTAATCTGAGATAACTAAAGTTAAATTCTCTCCATAAATTTTCCAGTTTGGATAATAATCCTCCATTAAGTGCTACTCCAATGTCTCATAACGAATTGGTGATGACTGAATTCCTAGAGGCTATACCAGGGAGCTCAGTTTGGCATGTCCCATCATCAAGCTACAGAAGTCTGGAGCATAGGTCTGGAATCACATTATCACATGAGGACCAGCCTAAGTTTGAATAAACTCATCACCGTAAAGATGACCATCATGTCATGATGGGGTTTTTGTTTTTGTTTTATTTTTTGACACAACTCACAAAACTGTTTATTAAGGTATGATTAGAAACTACATTGGTAGGAGTACACACACTGGTGAAATCATGACTTTTTTATGTTAAAGTATGAGTAAAAACATCTCATACAGATATGTACATGGTAAAATATGAAATAGAATCTTAATGGTCTTCTCTCCCACATGCATGTTACATTTTAACTTGTATTTTAGTTATTTGTCTTATTGTCCTTGACTAGATTACAAGACTCTGAGGACAGAAGTTGTATTTTATTTCATTTTTGTATCTCCAGTTCTTAGTACAGAGCATTGCAGACAGTAGCCTTTTATAAGGTTTGTTGAGTTGAATAAATGAAGTTTAAAAAAATGGAAAAAATATTGTGAGACATACCTCTCCCATGTCCCCACACTTCACACCTGCCAAGGATGGCACATTTCTCCACTTGCTTTAGATGATAAGTTATAAAATTCTTTATAAACATGTGGCCAATAAAAAGATTATTTTAACTGATATCCATATATTTAACATTACCCATGTGACATATACACATACTTGAATACCTACCATGAGCTAGTATCTTGGGTTTGTTTGTAGGACTAAAGCAGACATTATGAAGAATAAGAAGAGGTAAATGGGGGCTGCTTTTGTGTTTATACTTGCTCATCTCGACAAGTAAATCTGAACAGCCAGTGAGTTTCAAGATCATTTGTTGCCCATCTTCGTCAGAGGAAATATTCAAAAGGAACTTCAACCAAAGAATGGCAAGATCAGGAAGGCATTTATTTTCTCCTTTTGGCAATGTCAGAGATAAAAAGTTCTGTAAGAAATTACTCTGGGGGGAGACAGAGAGAACATTATTTTCTTCCCGAGACTTAACATTTTCCTGATTATCTCACTAGTCCCTTGATGGCTAATTAGCTAGTCTTCTTATATTCTATTCCCCAATATTATTTTCCCCTTTCCACTAATATCCTCTCAGAAACAAATCTGCAATATTACCAGGTAGAAACTACAAAGGAAAGTAGAGAAAACTTTTAAAATCTTATTTTTCACTAATTCTTTTCTTAATGAGGGATGGGGTGAACTTATTTAAAATCTCAGTTATTCAAGGCTGATTTTTCCATTTGTGATAGATGGTTTTAGCCCCTTGATTGTTTTTCATTTATCTATTTTCTGTCTATTTGGCTACTCACTAAAAATTATACTACAGAAAGGAGATGAAAAGGAATTAAAATTCTAATCAAGTATCTTGGTTATTTGTTAGTTGTTCGGGCTTGGTCTGGGAGCAGTCTGATCCATTTACCTACAAATGTATTGCAAAGGTAATTTGCAAATATAATGTATCCATTCTATCACTATTTTCTATCTGAAGTCAATCAATCAATCAATCAATAAGCATTTGTTAAATATCTACTATGTGCAAGGCATCAAGGATGCCAATACAAAAGTGAAACAGTCACTCCCCTCAAGTAGTTTGCAATTTTGTGAGGTTGAGGAATATAATATATCCATGGATTGTGAAGGGCTTTAAATGCCAGAGGAATTTTTATTTTATCTTAAAGGGAATTAGAAGTCATTGAAATTACTTGAACAGAGGAACAACATAGTCATACATGTGCTTTGGAAATATAATTTGGCATGGTGTGGAAGATGAGTGGACAGGGGAATGGGTCACACATAATTTACAACTGAATATAGTTTTTGTATCATTCTTAGACTGCTAAAAGTATCTCTATTCAGTTTTCATTATGTAAGAAGGCAAAGGAGAGGGCAATCCTCTTGTCTTGCTTTTCCTTTAAGGTTAATAAAGTAAACAATACCACGGAGCTTCTGTGTTTGGTCTTAGTATACAAATGAAAGAAAAGTAACAAAAATAGTTTTATAATGACTTATGACACCAATTTACCCATAGAAATAGACATTATAGAAAATCTAATGATAAACTTTTAAAATCAGGAATCTAACACAGCCTGAAAATGTATTGTTCTGAATATTCAATTAAAATGGTCAAAGCCTTGAATACAAAGCAGAACCTACAATGATACTGTACCAATTTACAGCCTGAAAAGCGGTCCATTTGTACTTTAGTGCGTTGTGCAACATTACATTTGTTCAATGTTATTCACAAACTAAATGAAGCCAAAATCAACAACGAAGAGTCAGAATATTGGCAATACAGCCTCAGAGAGCAGACTGCTCCAGCAAAAAGAGGGGACAATAAATGGCTTTAAAAGGGTGTGGTGAGGAATCCTCTGCTTTCAGAAAAGTTTGTCAATCTAAACTTAACTAACTGCTATCACTTGGTGTAGTTAACAGTTCTAATATAGAGGTTATCACTTTTATCATCCCAAAATAATATAAAAAACTTGTCTTGGAACTCCACTTTTGAAAGTACAGAATAATCACTTAAAAAATTTATGAAATAAAAAAGTCTCATGATTTCTATATACTAATTCCTAATAATTTCTATATGCCAACTGGATTTAAGGAAAGTGCACCTCTTCATTTTATGAATTTCTAAAAACAGTATCTTAAAAACAATTTAATTTTCATGTGCCCTGGAATTTGAGATTTGTGTGATTAGTAACACTCAAAGTATTATTTTTTTGCCATAGATTCAATCATTGGATATTTTTGTTTAGGATACATAGTACAGTTTAAGCGCTTACCTTTTGAATAACTCCTTTACAGTCATGAGATAAGGCAACATTTGCAAGGAGTGTAAAAGCCAATTGCTGAATTGTGGGATTCTCAGAAGTCATATGGGAAACCCATTTTAAGATACAAAGCATCAAAGAGTTACTTGGTGTTCCTCTAAATGCAGGCTGACCAGGATATTGTACACAACTTGCCCCACAAAGAGAACTGCAACCTTAAAGAATGACAGTTTATTACAATTTACTTATAGTTTTACAATCTAGTTATAAACTATTACTCATCAACCAAAAACAATAAGCAGAAAATTAACAGCATGTATGTGTGCATACTTCTGTTTTGGGCCTAGTGATTTATTAAACTGTCTTCATTAGTGGTTTTTATCATATTTTATTCTAAATCTATGAAGAAGAAATCCCCTTCCTTTGCTTCCTCTCTCTCACCTCTGTTCAGCTTAGCTTTATTCTTCTCCAAGTTTATTTTGCCTCTACTATCCCTCTATCAAACACCATCCATTGAGATCAGCAGAACCCAGTCTGTACTGAGCAAATGCCACTAGGAGCTCTGCCTTTTCCATAAGTTCTCCTTATATTTTCTGTCTTAACTAATATTTGACTTAATCCAAAATATACCTTCCCCGTGAAGTTTTCGATGGAGACTATTTCATTTGTACTAGCCCTGAAGAACTAGGAGAAGGAGCAGCTTTCTCTTTGTAGGTCCATACCATATGCTTACGGGCAGCTAGATGGCACAATGGATAGATACAGTGCTGGGCCTGCAATCAGGAAGAACTGAGTTCAAATCCAGCCTCAGAGACATACTAGCTGTGTGACCCTGGGCAAATCATTTAACCCTATTTGTCTCAGTTTTCTCACCTGTAAAATGAGCTAGAGAATGAAATGGCAAACCACTCCAGTATCTCTGCCAAGAAAACCTCAATGGGGTCATGAAGAGTCAGACATCACTGAAATAACTGAACAACAACTACTATATCCTTATACCACTACCCTATCAGGACCTTTTTGATATGCTAATTCTGTCATTCAATATGTTAACACTCTCTTTTAGCTTTGAGCAATAACAATTTTGTTATCACCTATAGCTTTATCTAAGTCATTAGTAAAAATGTTATACTGATGATTGTAATGGAATATTATCATGCTATAAGAAATGACAAACAACATCATTTCAGAAAAACCTGGAAAGACTTACATGAGCTGATGCAAAGTGAAGTGAACAGAACCAGGAAAATGTTGTACAGACTAACAGCAATATTGTTCAATTAAGAACTGTGAATGACTTAGCTATTCTCAGCAATACAATGATCCAAGACAATCCCAAAAGACTAATGATACTATCTGCCTCTAGAGAAAGAACTGATTTGATAGAAAACAGACTGAAGCATGCTATTTTTCACTTTTACTTTTTTTTCTTTTATTCGAGTCTTCTTGTACAAAATGACTAACGTGGAAATGTTTTATATAATTGCACATGCATAACCTATATCTAATTGCTTACTGTCTCAAGAAGGGGGAAGGGGAGAGGAGACACGGATAGAATCTGGAGCTCAAAACTTTAAATAAAAGTGTTTAAAAATTGAGAAGAAAATAAAAAAGAAAACATATTAAGAAAAAATATGTTATACTGAATTAGGCACATACTATTTCATGCACTTACCTGGAAAACTCTCCTAAACTTATGTCAGTCAACAAATATGTATTATTGATTGCTATATTCTAGGCACTGTGAAATCCTAAGGATACAAAAAAAGTCAAAGAAAGTTCTAGCTTTCAAAGAGCTCTCATTCTAATGGAGGAAAAAATATAATAACTAGGTACATAAAAGATATGTACAGAATACATGGAAAGTAACCTCAGAGGGGCGAGGCACCAGCGATTAGTGAGACCAAGGAAAGCCTCTTTCAAAAGATAGGCTTTTAACCGATTCTTGAAAGAAGCTAGAAAAATTAAGACGCAGATTTGAGGAAGAAGAACTCTCCAGGGGTGAACAGGAGTGTCATGTGCAAAGAGGAGGATAGAAGTCAATATAGCAACATCAGAGTGTGCAAAGAGGAGCAAAATAAAAGGAGCCTGCAACCGGGAGGAGAGGACACAAGATTATAGATTATTTTAATTGCCCAAAAGAGGATTTATATCTAATCCTGGAGATAATGGAGCCCCAGTGGAGTTTGTTGAGTAGAGGAGGACAAAGATGCATGGTCAGACCTATTCTTTAGGAAAATATCTTTTGATAGATTTGTGGAGGATGACTTAAACAGCAGAGACTTGAGGCAGGAAAACCAACCAGAAGATGGCTGAATTAGTCCTGGTGAGAAATGATGAAGCTTGAACTAGGTGGTAGCTATGTGAGTGGAGAAAAGATGCTGTGCAGAAAGAAACACACTATTTGGCAACAGAGTGGATATATGGGGTGAGTGGAAGTAATAACAGCAATGCTGCAAATCCAGGTGAGTACAACACTTCAACAGTAAAGGGCCCTTTATCTGAAAAGCAGAGGAGGGTACGGATGATGGGAAGATAATGAATTCTGTTTTGGACGTGTTCAGTCTGAGATGCCTCTAAGACATCCAGTTCCAAAAGGCAGTTGGCCATGTGGAATTGGATCTCAGTAACCTGACTAGGGCTATATGGAGATCTGGAAATCATCTCCATAAAAATGAAAATTGAATCCATAGGAGCTGATGATATCAACAAGTGAGGGAGTCACTAGTGGTGAAGTAGATACATAGGTCACTAGATGAGGATATTCTCTCAGTCACTTTTCATTCAGTATTAATAAGTACCAACATTTCCCCATGCTTTTAGTATCTTCTTTGGATGTCTTATGAAATGATACCTCCCTTGATAACTTTGTTTTTCTCTAGCATAGAGCTCCCTTCTTACAAATTTGGTTTATTTCAGTTGCTTTGCCCATCTTTATTCTCTTTACTGCCATTTCTATCTTCTCTGTAAGCAAATCTGGGACTATGATGTTAGAGTTGAAGTATGATCTTCACTGTTCTCAATAGTTAAGAAAAAACGTATAAAAATTGTTCATGCTCTTTTCCATTTTTCATATTTTTTAAGACTAGATGGTGCAATGGATAGAGTGCTAGGCCTGGAGTAAAGACTTGAGGTCCAATTTGGCCTCAGACATTTGCTAGTTATGTGATCCTGAGCAATTTATTTATGTGTGTGTGTGTGTGTGTGTGTGTACATATACATACAATACCTATAAATCATTTTTCCCAATTATATGTTAAAACAATTTTTTAACTTTTTTTAAGTTTTAAGTTCCAAATTTTATCTTTCCTTCACTCCCTCTTTCCCTCCCACCGCCACCCTCCCCTCCCCCTACCCCAATGGTAAGCAATCAGACATAGGTTATACACTTGCAATTATGTAAAACATTTCCACTGGGCAATTTATATAACCTCTGTTTGCCCCAGTTTCCTCAACTAGAAAATGGGGATCATAATAGCACTTTCTCATAAGATTGCTGTGAGGATGAAATAAAATAATATTTTTAAAGCACTTAGCACAGTATTGGCACATAGTACGAGTTATATAAATGCTTAATCCCTTCCCCTTCCTCTTCCAGTTTTATCCCTAAAAGCCATTAGAGTAATTTTTTTACTATGTCTCTTACCAAGTTTTCTTGAAACAGACTATCTTCTACTGCTTCTCTCTTCAATAAGAAAATATATTGCCCAGAATCTATCATCTTTTTCTCCATAAGACATTTTTCAAATGAGTTCATATTCCAAATCATTGTTGCTCTTAGCTGTCATATCTTTCCATTTGACAAGTAAATAAAATATTGGCTGACTAAAGTACTTTTGGGGCTCTTTTTTGCCTCCTTGTTATGTCAATTGATTTACATCAGCTAAATTGCTTTAGGGAATCATCAGTCTGTGTCTATTTCCTTTTTTTTCCATGTACCATTTATTGTTATTAAACTTTGTTTAAATAGGTCAGGAGGGAGTCATTTCAATTACATACCATACCATTTTCTTATTTATATGCTTTCTCCTAGCTTTGAACTAATATTGATTTTTCCTCCAATAAGTCAGTGGTGTGCCAGTACCTCCCAGGATTATAGTGAGGATAATTGAAATAATATTTGTAAGGTGTTTTGCCAGTCTTAAAGTGCTACATAAATGTGAATTATTATTATTGCTACTGTTAAAATATAATCTGTATCATTTTTGTGGTGTTATTTTGTAGTACATCCAGCGTCTTCTGATTAATTTGTCAAAGAAAATATATAAGGTGTGAACCTTTTAGGTAGTCTTTGACCTTTTATTTCTTATTTTTGATCCCTATTTTCAAATATATTCCTTGTAACCCTCACCTATTTCCACCTATGGACTGAAGTCATCAAGTATTAAAGTAAATAATAATTTTACTTTGAAGGTCTTACTAAGTTCTTGGAAGAATTTCTCTATTCTTCATCCTCTGCAACAGATGTTGGTATATGAAATACAATTGTTTTTACAGTAATCTTTTTCTTTACAGTAATCTTTTTGCAAATACTTATCATGAACACTGCAATATAAGAAGCCAAGATGACCAAAGAAATGCCATAGATATATAATCTATGTAGATTTAGCAAAATGCCTGACAGTCATAATTTTTATGGGAAAAAAATGGAAAGACATGGGCTAGACAACAAAAAAAATTAAGTATATTCAGAATCAGTTGATTGGCCAGACTGATAGCTCAGCCATTACTGGTTTAATGACAACTTTATTACTATTTAATTTTTTATCACTGATTTGGAAGAAAGTATAGATGGCAGGCTGATGTAATTCATACATAACACAAAGGGAGGAGGACTAATAGTTGACAGGATTCAAAATGGTCTTGACAGGTTAGAACATTGTTTTTTTAAAGAAGATGTTTAATAGGAATAAACATTTTGCATTTGTTGAAGAGGGTATAATTTTTCAGAAATGTGTTAAATTAGGTGGCCTCTAAGGTTTTTTCAACTCTGTTCTTTTGTGAAAAATAGATATGATATAGACCCTTCTCTCAAGAAGCATACACTGTAATGGGGAGGAAAAGTATTAAAACAAATAATTGACACAAAACTTAGTTTGAAAAATGGGAGAGATAACGACAAAGTTGGATGTTCCTTTGCTACCAAAAACATAGGAAGAAGAGATTAAGAAAGGCAAGTCCTGACTCCTCCAAGAAAGCTTCTTTTACTAATCTAGTACATTATGATCTGTCCTAAAGATATGTATGATAATTGAGGGGAAGGAACCATGCTTCCTACTTCCTTTGTATCCCTCAGTACTCAGCTGAGTCCTGAACCCATATAGAACACACGGTAAATACCTCTAGATTTAATAGGCAGAGGAAAACATGATTGTCAGCTTACAACTTTTACTATTATATCTCAAAAAGTATGTCTGTAGGCACCGACATAAGAAGCAAGGTGAAAGTATTTAAGAACAAATTAGAGAGGATTCATGATACATTGAGAAAGCATTCAACCTCTTCTTTCTTAAAGGTAGAGTTGGCCGTTCTCAAATGCTAAATGGTCAAAGGATATGAACAAGTAGTTTTCAAAAAAAAAAGAAACCAAAGCTATCAATAGTCACATGAAAAAATGTTCTAAATCACTACTGATTAGAGAAATGCACATTAGAACAACTCTGAGGTACCATTTCACACCTATCAGATTATTAACAGGACAGAAAAGGAAAATGACAAATACTCATAGAGGGGTTGTGGAAAAATTGGCACACTAATACTCTACTGGTAGAGTTGAAACTAGTCTAACCACTCTAGATAACAATTTGGAACTATACCTAAAGGGCTATAAAACTGTAATACCACTACTAGGTCTGTATCCCAGAGAGATCAAAGAAAAGATAAAAGGACCTCTTTGTACAAAAACATTTATAGCAGCTCATTTTCTGGTAGATAAGAATTGGAGAGGAGATGCCTATAAGTTGGGGAATGGCTAAACCAGGTGTGGTATATGATTGTGATGAAATATTATTGTGCTATAAGAAATGACAAGCAGGATGGTTTCAGAAAAACCCAGTAGGAGTTATATGAATTGATGCAAAGTACATTGAGCAGAACCAAGAGAACATCACACACAGTAACACTAGTATGATAAGGGTGATCAACTGTAAGATTTAGTTACTCTGATTAGGAAAATGATCCAAGATAATTTCAAAGAACTTATGGTGAAAAATGCTATCCATTTCTAGAGAAAGAACTGATGAACTATGCAGACTGAAGCATATCTTTTTTTACTTTCTTTATTCTTCTTGTTTATATGTGTGTGCATTTTTTTTTTTGCAACCTGGCTAAAATGGAAATATGTTTTGCATGACTTCACATGTATAATTGATATCATATTTCTTGTCTTCTCAAGGATAGGGGAGGAGAGAGAGGGAGAGAGTTTAGAACTAAATTTTTTTTAAAAAATGATGTTAAAAAATTTACAGGTAATTGAAAGGTAACATTTTTTAAAATGAAAGAACTGAAAAAAAAGGAAAAAGTTGGGAAGGCACTGGGAAAAGATAAATTATTCTCATTCAAAAGCAGGTGAATACCAGTGAAACAGATAAACTGGATCTTGTATGACGTAATATTTATATCATTGAATACATTATTTTCAATAAGATAGACCCTTTCTCAAGAAGCATACACTGTAATGGGAAGAAAATACATTTTTCATCTTACGACATTTTGTAAATTAATATACCAGTAAATTATAAATAGAGAGAATATCATGTCATTATAACATATACTGATATATGTGTGTACACAGACACATATATATATTGTGTGTATATATTATATGCATATGTACGTGTATATATGTATATATTTATATATGTATATATACTATCCTCTCTCCCTCTAACTAGAAGGTAGAGCCATGAACTCCAAAACCTCCATTTAAGAAGAGAGCTAAACTTACACATGTCTTCATTTCTCACCTGGCTTCATTACTTTGGGACTTCTCTAACTTCTCCATCATGCCCTCTACTCCAAGTCGGGTGCTTTCTTCTCTCCCCACTTTGCCTTTCAGCCCTCTGTGTGTTGCCTTCCCCCATTCAATTATAAGCTTCTTGAAGGCAGGGATTATTTGTATCTCTAGCACTTAGCTGAGTGACTGGCATATAATAGGAGTTTAATAAATATTTAACAAATATATTTACCAGCTGGATAATTTGCAGTATAGACACAAAGCAGCTGCAGGGCCACCTTCATCAATGAATCATCCAACAGAAACCAAGGCCAAAAAGAATGTATGAGAGGAACAAGATGTGCTCGAAGTGCTGTTGCCTTTTGAAGAAAACACAGAATGATTTATGAGATATATTAATATTATACTATTTTGTAATAACTTATTATTAATTTGTGATCCATCCTTTTCCTTCAATTTGTTGAGACTCACTTCTGAAAAGGTCATTCTCTTATGGGTATAACTGAGTAAGGTAATCTTCTCCCAGCCCCAAGGCATCTACCTGGGCAGAGACTAGGCAGAGACCTTTATTTTTGTTTATTCAGTAAACAAAAGCTAGCCTCATCCCTGAAACATATTTCCTTGTCCTTGATCCCCTCCATTAAAATTCAGGGCAACACAGCTAGTGAAGGAGAAAACTAGCAGAGAGATCCAGATAGAAATGGCTTCCCCCTGTCCAGATTGCTGGAGGCTGCTGAGACTCACAATCGAACCACATTCTCAGCAGGAGGAGCCAAAGACTTTTAGCCTACCTCCTCATTAATTGTCCACCAATCACATCAAGTTTCACTTGTCAGAGAAGTTTCCTATCAGAAGGAACTCCCTTGGTGACTTTGGTTACTGAGAGAAACTGCTAACCATCAATTTATTGATTACTAGATAGCCTAATTAATAAATTGATTATTAATTACCTGGAAACGCTGTCTCTTGGAATTCTCATTTGCCACACTTGGAATAAAAATGTATAGAAATATAAAACGACTCAGAAAGAAAGTAATTATAGAATGAAATAGAACACATAAAAACCAGACATTGAAATAAAATAGAGGAGAAACAATATTGTCAACTTAAAAAAAATCCCTTCTCTGATGAAAATCAGCAGTAAGATTTAAGAATAAGTACATATATTCCAAAAGGATTCAATATTTCCCTTCAACAGCGGGTACCACACTTAGCTGTCATAACATAGAACAGGCCTTCGTCAAGAACTCATTTTTAAAAGTGGCTGTGATTGTATTCTCTTTGGATAAGAACAGCTATAGTCTAGAATGACGGAATAATAATATGTATTCAACTACTACTTATCACAAAATGGTCAAGAACTAGCATATTCTAAATGATTACAAATTCCAATTAACATCAAATTGCCTTATAAACAAAAAATGGATTTTATTATATTCTAATTATTCAAAAATCCATTAAACACAAATTATACTTCATATAATCTTTCCTTAATGATTCAGAAGCCATTTCAGGATATTTCAGTGTTTCAGATTTATTATCATGAAAATTAATTATTGTTCACTCCATAATAATTATTCCTCAGTGGCGGATCTGTGTATCATATCTAAAATTTTGTTGGTTATACTAAAATAAACTATTGCCTAATATTAAACAATGTATCCAGTTTTTTAAAAGTACGCAAGGAAAGTTTCCTTTTATTGGCTCAAAACTAAATTACAAAATTAACTCATAGAATTGAATTTATATAAAACTTAAATTCTGATTATTTTAAAAAGTTACTCAATTTCAGGTATCGGACTCTTCCAGAAAAACAGATAACCTCAAAAGCCAAAAAACGACTTGATAAATTTTATAAAGAACATTCAATTATTAAAAAATCCCACTGATAAAAGAACTGGAATAAGGATGCTTTTGTTATAAGAAACAGACTAATCTGATGAATATAACTGCTTGTGATAGTGCTGATAGAGAAAGAGGAATGATCATAATGAAGACAGCAGTGACAAAAAAGGACTGCTATAACAAATGAAACATGCTGTAATAGGAACTGGAAACCATACAACTAAAATCCAGAATGAAAAAAGAAACCCTAAGTACAAATATTGGAAGATTTTGATTAATTCTCTCATTATTCAGTGGTACCTTAGCATATGCTTACCTCTTCTAATCTCATGAAATTTTGAAAAAAATTATAAATTAGTTTTATTTAATGTATTAACCCTTTTCTGATTTGTTCTTAGCTCAAGCAACTCAGCAAATGGTTTGACAATTTGATTGATAATGATTCCATATATATCTGGATTGCATTATAGCTGGCATAATCCAAAAGTGGCAGCTACATTCATAATAACTAATCTAGTTACTAGATTTTTTTTGCAGCCAGAGCTTATCTAGTGAGCAAACTACAGTATTCCACAAAGAATACATAGGAACATATTTTAAAAATTAAGAATATTATATTTTATTTATTGATGTTCTTGTGATTTAAGAATTTTCATACACAGAACATATTTCACTACTGTGCAAACATATTTAAGAATGATATGATAAAACTAATGATGTTATTGTCATTCACCCAGTAGGTGCCCAGTAAACATTGGCTGAATGAATAGTTATAGACAATGACTTAAGTAAATAGTGAAAATATTCATCATAGGCTCCCAAGTGGTTTTGAAAAGGGTTAGGCTACAGACTGACACACAAGCACATATTTCTGATAAAACAACAGTACAAACTAATGGGATGCCCTACCACCTCAAGTGTTAAGATTTTTCTAAAGACTGCTGTTTAAAGTACTATGTAAGTAAAAGTCTAAAGATACATGATCAAGAAAACAGAAGAACATTTCTTGGTTCTTGGAAGTTTCAAGTGTTAGATATTTGATAATAACTTTCAATCTACTGCCAACCTCTCATATACCCTTGAAATCGTTTTCAAGCATGTTTTCTGAAAGCCAGCATAATTCAAGCAATCTTGAATGTCTGCTCTTATACCCAATTGAACATAATGCAACTATATCATGCACCACAATTCCAATGACAAAGTTAGAAAGCTGATAAATGCAAGAAATATTTATGATATTATCATTCATATTAATGTCTTAGTATTTAAATTGGGGATTCTTTTTTTTTAATGTTCATATAAAAGTCTTAACCAAATAGAGATCAATGGCTCAAAACTCTAAATCAATTTCACAATTATTTTCTGGTCAAAATAAAACCCTTAAAATATTATTACCCTATCTTACTGCTATTTTACACATATTGAAAACAGAGAAACTGAATATAAAATAGCTAAGGCCTCAGAACTAAAATTCAAAAACTCCTGACTTCTAGAAGTTAGATTTAAAGACATGATACTTCTCAACAAGCTTTATATATACTCTTGTATGGTATCTGAGGGACTGCTAGGTGGTGCAATGGATGGAGTGCTGGGCCTGGAGTCAGGAAGATGTGAGTTAAAATATGTCCTCTGACACTTACTAGCTATGTGACCCTGGCCAAGTCACTTACCCCTGTGCCTCAGTTTCCTCATCTATAAAAGGAGCTGGAGAAGGAAATACCATTCCACTAACTTTGCCAAGAAAACCCAAATGGGGCCACAAAGGATCAGACATAACTGAAACAAGTGATAAGAAACTGTATTTGAAACACATTCACTTTTTCTACTGATGAATAAAAATGCAATTAAAAGATGTTCTGATTAACTTCTTTCAAAATCTCATATCGTGTTATTATTTAACCTTTTGTTCCATCTTATTAACTGTAAAATTAGAATTCCCAGAAATAAATCAGGGTATATACCAACAAGAAATAGAAATCTGCTTCAACTGTATGATGCCAATGTTTAAACAACAAACTTAAAGAAATAATATAAGCAAGAAAAGTATATAAAGCTTTAATGAATGAGAATATTTCTGATGAGGTAGATTCATTTATTAGTATACTAGATTTATGAAATATTCAATTGTGCCATCTAAAAACAATAAAATTTGAGGAACTTTTTCACTTAAGTCTTATATTATCCTTTATACTAATCAAACTGCTTAGGCTTATTACTGATGGCAGCTTTACTTACTTTATATTCATTGTTTTGATAAAGGCAGTTTCTTAGCATCTGCATGGCAATGTTTAGTTCCTTCCTAAAACCATTTTCCTGTTTAAATAAAAAACAAATGAAAAATATCATAAGAACAGAATACATATATTTTTATATATAGTACCCCACTTTTGGTTCATGTTATAACATAGCAAAACTTCAGTCATGCCTGACACTGTAACTTTGAAGATGCTGACAAGCTAACCACTTCTGAAAGATGACCATATCTCAGCAAACTCATTCACCACAAAAAAGCTATTTCTGTTCTATCAAGCACAGAGGAATTGAGATATATAATAGGCTTCATGTGATAAAGTGATACAGGTACTGTATGGTTTTCAATCACATCAGGTGTTGCCTGACATTCTCAATGATGAAGTAAGGGGTCTCTACTTCAAAGAGGCACAGGAAAAAAGAGCAAGGAAGATCAAGACAAATATGTGTAGCATTGTTACAAATTACTTTTTAAACCAGTTTTTATCTCAATTTACAAAAAATTTATCTCAGTTTATAAAAAAACATGCCAGCTTTGTGCACTAAAAGTTTGATGAAACAGATGTTTAATTTCCCAAAATCATGAAATAAATTTTATTCTAGGATGCATAAAAATATTTCACATGTCAAGGTGATTAATGAACTTATGATTTGTAACTTATTCTATCAGGAATATGACAAGCATACTAAAGACGTGGTAGAGAAGGAACAATATGGGAAAGTTCTGCTATTCCAGTGATACCGTTTGGCTGTAAATCATGAAATGCTGTTATCTCCAAAGAAATTAGTCTTATAAGTCATCCAAAGAGCAAAAGAGAGGTGCTTGTTGGATGTGAAGAGGCTGAAACACATAACCAGTGAAAAACTGTACAGGAGTGATATTATCAGATATATGATTGGAAAAGAAGATGGCTCAGTCAGATACGCAAAGCAAGAAATTATTTGTATTTTTGTATTAACTGACTCTTCTACTATTGACTACATAATTTTAAATAATCTAGAGAATGGCTTCCAGAACAGTGAGAGTCTCCTCTCACTTGTAGCCATAGAGGATTTGCAGTATGATATAGACAAGAGCTGATATGCCCCAGATCATATGGTATGGGTGGGTTGCAATCACAATAAGAAGTACTGACATTATAGAAATGCAGAATCCATCAAAGCATTGAATAACAAACAGGAAACTAGACATATTCAATAAGTAAATTCTTAAGACTTTGGTAATATCATTACAAATAAGTAATGCACATCAATCAGTACGTTCTTCTCTCATCTGACTGCTCATTACATATAACCAGCAGATAATATTCAATTTGGAATAAACTGTATTGTGTCATTTCATAGCAAAAGAATCTACTGAATATATTGAAAAATGGACTCTAACTAAATCCATTCTTTTTCATAACAAACTTGTAGATTTAATAGTTACCTTTTTTTTGGGTCCCCTTTTCCTAGGCTTCAGAGAATCTAAGTTCAGTTGTGCATGGATGTGTTTCATCTGTTCTATGCAGCTGTCTATGAGGCCAGCTGAAAGACAAAATCTCTAAGATTTAGAACTAAATTTCCTTGATGATAGTTAAAACTTTCACTTGAAACTAAGACCACAGAAAAGATAGTGTTTAGTTTTCTCACCATAAGGCTTATGATTCTGATGAAGAGAAATGGGAGAGAACTTATATGAAAAATCCATTTGTTTCCAAGATACTTAGTTGGCTACCTCCAAAATCTAAGATATAAGCATTTTGTGTTTCCAAAAGATCACAGATTAAAAACTAATAGCGACTTTAAAGGTCATCTAGTCTAATCCCATGATTTTACAGATGAGAAAATAATAATAATAATAGGACTTATGTTATGCTTCAAGGTTTGCAAAATGCTTTACAAATATTATCTTACTTTATAGATACAATAACTCTGAGTGGCAGGACCACAGAGGTTGTGATGTACCAAAGGTCACAACAGTTAAAAAGTAACAGAGCTAGGATTTAAACCCAGGTCTAGTTATTTCAAATCTAGCACGGTGTCTATTACACCATACTGCCTCTATTATTTATAATAATATGCTTGTGTATCTGATTATAGCTGAAGTTAATCCAGGTGTAGAGTGGAATGTTAATCCAATACTTTCATTACTGATGATAACATGAGAATTAAAAGTTCAGTCAAACATGTGAAATATTCATGAAAATAGATGTATTAATTTAGAAGGAAAGGTCATAAAAACTGTGCATTCACAATAACGGCTGATGTTTGTCATTAATTAAATAGCTAGATTAACTGAATTATTTAATTTAAGCCTCACAACAATCCTGAGTACATACTACAGGTATTATTATCTTCATTTTAGAGAAAAGGAAATAGGTTCAAAGGGGTTAAGTGACTTGTTTATAGTCAGTCACACATCTAGTAAATCTCAGAGGTGGGATCTGAACTCAGGAGTTCTTCACTTCCAAGGCCAGTCCTCTCCATTACATTATGCCTCTTCTCATAGTTTACTTAGAGGAGTTTAAGTAGGAGAACAATTGTGTCATTATGCAAAAATCAGAAATGAATGAAATTTAGGCAGAAAAAATGCTGTTTAACATAAAAGGGGCACGAGATATTTATAAGTTTAACTTCAGGAAAAACTTCTCAAGATGACAAATCCTATCTGGTATGTGAAGCAAAGCACGAGAGGCAAACTATTGGGACATTTAAAATGAACCTGCAGAGGCCAATCAAAGCAAAAAACAATCTGCTTGAACTAATGGATATTATGCTCATTCTCTCCTTAAATGGTCTCTCTATGTAATAATATATAGTTTTTGCCATTTGCTGGTGGGAGTCAAATTTGAATATAGTATTTACTGACATATTTTTCTTTCTTGCAAATTCTCTACCTGAAAATTGGGACCCAAACTAATTTTCAGGGGAAAAATGTGCTGCTGTTCTTCACAATACTCCTTCTCCAGCAGTAAGCTGGCTTTGGTTTTTAGCAGTAACATAATGCTCTGAAGACTAGTTGAAGAGACATGAATGAGGCCTGCTTACTAAAAATTACATTTAGTTACTGAAGTACTTAAAGAGTATTCTTCAGTCTTTTTAATATATTCATTTTTAGATTTGGTATATATAGATATTATCTGTTAAGATCTTTCTTTTTTAAAAAAAGGAATTTAAAAATAATGATAAAATATTTAATTATTCAGTTTTCTCCATTTTCATCCATTTCTCCCTCAGATTGTACTGCGTTAAAAGAACGATGAAAGTGATCTGTAGACATATTGGCAGCAGGAATAAATGCATGAAAACACACCAAGAGGAAATACTTTTGCTAGTAGAGAGATGAACTTAATAACGTTGGTAAAGTTTTTGCTCCTCATTTCCTTAATTTAAATCATTAAGCAATACATGACACTGGGTTCACATACAGCATATATTAAATAGAACATTAACTATTGACATGTTAGGTCATATCAAAGTACATAAATAAAGTTTTTCAGAGAATCTTTAATCAATAATTTGCTGACAAGAATTATCCCAGTAAATAGTTTCTATTTATCTTCACACATATTGTTAAAGAGCAGAATTTTAAGAACATGTTTATTGTACATCGTAGGCATTTAGTAAATGTTTGTTGAATTGAATTCAGAGACAGCCATAGGCTTTTGTGGAAATTCAAATGATTCAGGTTGATTCATCTTAGAGAAGAAAGGGCAGAGGGTTGATAACTCTCTTCAAGTGTATGAAAAGTTACTATTATAAACATAGCACTTATTTGCTATCCTCCAATCCTTTAAAGAAAAGGACTAGAAAAAATAGGTTTGATTAGTAGAAAGTTGGAATAATCTTAAAGCTTATCTAGTCCAACATCTTCATTTTACTGATGAGGCCCAGACGGAGGTGAGTCACAAATCCATATCCAGTGGCCTCAAACTGAATATTTTTTTCCACTGTAAAACAATGTTTGGTAGTGAGAACGAAAGACTACACATGGATAGCCTCAGTACACTGTTACCACTGAAATATTACGTTATTAAAACAAAAATAGGAAGGTCTTGAGCACATTGAGTTGGTCTTCTATTCAGGATTTGTAGCAAGATATGGAAAAAGATCACACAGGATGAGGAGAAATGGAAGGCTTCCAAAACTGCATCAGAGGAGGGAGCTGCAACAAACCCACTAAAATAATTAAATACTAGAATTTTGCTCTGCAAGGATCTTTAAAAGGAGGATAGAAAATAATCTTAGAAGCTTAACAAGCAATTCTACCCCAAGGTATAGGACAGACAACATGATATCAATACGTCACTTTCTATAAAATTCTAGACACTGAATGATGCTTAAATGTGAAACAATATAGGGAGAATTCTCTAAGTACTAGTATAGCACAACTTAATATTGCTAATTACTCAAAACAAAGCCTGTTTATTCCAGTCAGGTACTGTGTTCTGATAAATATTCAGGAAAGGATGGATACTGATAATAAACATTTTAGAATTCAGCTGACATAATCTTAAATGATTTGTACTACATTTAGTCTTCCAATTACACTAAGATACACATTCTCTGAAGCAGAAATCAAAGTATCTTCTATAACAGTTTGATTTGCAGTGTTCATGTATTCTAAAGCTTACCATTCCAGGCATATTTCTGAGCTCTTTTACTGACAGCTAGAAGTGACATCAAAGCACTTATGGCAAACTTTTTCAGTGTATCCTTGGAGGATTGCTTTTCATAGCTCTATAAAAAAATAAAAATAAATAAATTCACATAAACCCAATATACAATACAATACACACACAAAATTACCTATCTCAGAAGACTACAAATTCTCAAGAAAAATGATTTATTGTAATGGCATATAGCACTTGAAGTTTAAAATGGCAGTAAGTTATAAAATAAAATTACTGGAACCATACAGAGCATCATACTGAATGAATATCTGAGTGGTCTCTATGGATGGTACTACATAAAGAATTTAGAAAGTGTGAAGAAAATATAGTACCTATACTCAAAAAGTTCTTCATCTAAAGGAGACAAGATAAATATTTTGAACTAATAAAAATAAATATAATACTTGGGCTACTCAAGCCTCCCCATTGTGGCACTCCTTGGCTGTAATTCATGCCTTAGGCCTTTCTCTTTCCTTCTTAGGATCAAAACTTACCTATTCTGTGTTCAATTCCCTCAGAACTTTGTTAAGTGACTGGCTAATTAATTAAATAAATTAATTCTTGCTTAGGTATTAATGGAAATAACTGATTCAATATATTAACTCAGAGGAAATGGCAATGATGGCTTTCCAAGCCAGGTAGGACCAATTAGCAAGATATCTTCATATGGGGGACCTTTTGGACCTGTCAAATCATATCATATAGACTGCCACTTTCCCCATATAGATGATAAAATGTTTGTGAAAATGCTTTGAAATCAATAAAATTAATAAAACACTATGAAATATAAATCATGAGTATGGAAGGATGACACTTCTCTAAATGTCTAGATGGAAGATTCAAAAAAGCTTAATGAAGGTAACACATAAAATAAAACTTTAAAGAAATGAGAAAAAAAGTCTTGGAAATAGGAAAAGAAAAAGTTAAAGTAAAAATTAGTTAAGAACCCAACTAGAACCAATACTGCTTAGAGGGAAACAGCAGGGTAAGATGGATCAATTAGCAGTAGTCTTAAAACCCTAGGAGTATGACTTTGATAGAGTGGAGACTGAAGCCACTAATTTTAGGTCTTCAATTAGCTTCAATTCAAGGACTTTTTCAAAAATAACTACTATATGCAAGGCAATGTACTTGGTGCTAGAGATACAAAGAAAAAACTTAAACACTGTCTGCCATAAGAAGCTTTCTCAAAGGTAGGGATCATGTCTTAGAGTTCTTTCCCATATTACCTAGGACAGTGCCTTGAACATAGTACATGCTCAATGAGCATTTTATTAATTTGAGGATGGAAATGAAACAATCTAAGTAATAGCTGGCAAAGATGGCTTTTGTGATCACAAAGAGCCTAGATAAATGCTTCAACAGTGGGAATAATATTGAATGCCTTGGTGTTCTGTGCTGTTACAGAAAAAAAAAGTGACTCAAATTAACTGATGATTATAGGTAGAAAGCAAATAATATGCAAGGTTAGGTATGCCATTTACTTAATCTTCATAAATATGGTACAATAGAAAGAATTAAAGATCTGAGAATCTGTACCTGAATTCTGGGTTTGCCACTCCAGGCAGCAGGGTATGGTGGAGTAGGGAAATGGCATGGTTAGATGGTTAAATAGAAGAATGATTGGAGTGGGGAGAAACTTGAACTAGCAGACCTATCAGCAATGTCTTATAAATAGTCCAAATGTTTGTTGATAAAGGCCTAGATTAGGATGGTGGCAATATCAGATGAGAGAAGGGGGTGTATTTGAGAGATGCTGCAAAGGAGAAATCAATAGGCATTGGCAACAGATCAGATATGGAGAGTGAGAGATAGGGACAAGTGATCTGCCTAAGATCATACAGGTTCTAAGTGTCAGATGAAGGATTTGGACTCAGGTCTTCCTAATTTGAATTCCCCCAGGTCTCTGTCCAATACACAATGCTGACTATATATACAAAGTGCTATAGTTAGTTTATCTTTAAATGCAGCAAATAGAATAGTGGATAGAGTGCTGGACTTGGATTTTAAAAGATCTGAGTATAAATTTTGCCTCAGACATAATTATGTGACCCTGACACTTAATCTCTCTCAGTCTCAAAAATTGTGATTATAATAACACCTATCTCATTCGGTATTCCTCCAGCCCACCTCAGCTACACACAAAGATGGTCATACTCCTTGATCTTGCCATCACCCAGAAATGTACCATGTTGAAGAATTCTGAAATCTCTTCTTCTGACCATAAGCTTTTCACCTCTCCTTCTGCCTTCCCTTATAAAAATCCACTCTTTATTTGTATTATGACCTCCAATCCCTTGACCCCTCAACTCTATCCCAGGCCATCTCCCCTGTACACTCCTCTTTTCCCCATCCTGATACCTTGGTGAACCAATTCAACTTTACACTGTCCTCTCTTGAATCCTTGGCCTCTTTATCATTTTACCAATTACGCCTTAACCTTGGCTCACTCCCTACCATTTACTGTCTTTGCTCCTACACATGTATTACTAAATAAAGGTGGAGGAAATCATATGCGTTCTGACTGAGTCCACTACAAATTTATGTTGTATAACCCCAAATGAGCCTTCACTGCTATGAGGCAGTTCTACTACACCTTCTTATCAATTCACTATCCCATTCTCCACAGCAGCTCTTCTAAGCTGTTTCATCCTTCCTCTGGCCTACCATAGTTTTCTCTCCCCCCCCCCGACTCTCTCAACTGGGAACCTTGCCTCATATTTTACAGAAAAAAAAAACTGGCTATTTGCCATAAACTCCCTTTTCTCCCCTCTTCCTCATCTCCTATCACTCAGGTACCTTCTGCCACTATCTCCACCTTCCCCTGTGTCTCACATGATGAAGTATCCTTCCTTTTTACCAAGGCTAACCCTTCTACCTGTTCAAGTTATCCCATTGCATCCTGTTTCCTCCCATAGACTATCCCCTCTGTCATCCTCACTTTATTTTTGACCTCCCTGTCTACTGCCTTGTTCATTTTTGCCTATAAACATGTCCACATCAAACCAGCCTCAAAAAACCCTTCCTTGATCCTTTTATCCCTACTAACTATTGTCCTATAGCTTTTCTGCCCTTTGTAGTTAAACTCTTTGAAAAGTCCATCTACAATAGGTGCCTCCATTTCCTCTCTTCTCTTCTTCCTCTCACTCTCTTCTTAAACCCTTATAATCTGATTTCTGACCTTTTGCTAAAGCCTGACTATTGTTATCACCAGCTGGTGGATCTGCCTGCCTCAAGTTTCTCTCCACTCCAATCTATCCTGCATTTGCCTCCAAAGTATGCTTTTCTTTGCTTCCTTGTAAGTTTTCTTTTGTTCTCTGCTACGTACTTTTTACCTTGTTCTTTTTTTCCCCCTTACTCTTTCCCCTTCCCCCAAGAAGGCTACAATTAATCATCGATATATGTATGTATATATTCATGTAGGTATGTGTATGTAGACACACATATATATATATACACACATATGCATATATAACCACAAAGATTATATATGTATATATATATATATATATATATATACACACACACACATATATACATACATATATTTAGATATCTAGAATCCTGCTCATATATAAACATATACATTCATATGCACCTATGTAAAACCATACTATACTTGTTCGTCCTCTGTTTCTCTGAGGGTGGATAACCTCTACTTTCATAAGTCTGAGTGTTTCTGTATTTTCTAAGTCCACCAACTCATCATTTCCTACACTACAGCAATATTCCTACTCTGTACTCTCTAGTTATTTTAAATAGCCTACAACAATATTGATTAATATGGCTGACATATAGTGTAGTTTCCCTATTTTTCCCTTTTGATTAAATCTGTTTTAGCTAGGGGAAGGCTTCTTGAGGACGACATGACTTTAGCTGAGACCTAAAGAAAGCCAGTGGAACTGGGAAGTAGCGATGAGGAAGAGGAGCATTCCATGTATAGGAAGAGGCCAAATGTTATATTAGAAAAAGAGTAAGGAGGATACAGCAAAGGAGATAGAGGAATAGTCAGATCAGTAGGAGGAAAACCAGAATAGAACAGTGTCACAAAAATCTAGAGAAGATAACATCAATGAGAAGAGGATAATCAACAGTATCAAAGATTGTAGAGAGATCAAGAAGGATAAAAATTGAGAAAAGGCCATTAGATTTGGCAATTAAGAGATCATTAGCAATTTTGGAAAGTGCAGTTTTAATTAAGTGATGAGGTCAGAAGCCAGAAAACAGGAAGTGAGCAGAAAGGAAGTATAGGTATTGATTGCAAATAACCTTCCAAGGAGCTTAGCCACAAATTGGAGAAGAGATATGGACTTATAGCTAGCAGGAATGGATAGATCAAGTGAGAGTTTTTTGAGGATGGGGAAGACATGGGCATGTTCATAGATAGATAGCAGAGAAGCAATCAGTAGACAGGGAGATACTGAATATTAGTGAGATTAGGGATGATAAAGAAAACAACTTGCTGGAGAAGAAAGGATGGAATGGGATCACTTATGCATGTAGAGGGTTTTGCCTTAGTAAGGAATAAGGATACTCTTTCACATGAGACTGCAAGAATGGAGTAAACAGTGGCAAAAAACACTTGAATTATGTGAGATAAGGAAGTAGGCAAGAGGGAGTTCTCTGTGAATGGCTTCAATTTCCTCAGAAATATGAGGCATGGTTCTCCACTGAGAGGGTAAAGAAAGGAGTAGCTGTGGGAGATTTGAGGAAGGATGAAAAAGTTTGGAAAAGCTGTTTTGGTGAGCAGGATTGTGAATTGATTAGGAAGATATAAAAGGACTGCCTTGCTACAGTTAGAGCCCAGTTTACATTATGTAATATAAACTTATGGTAGAGCCAACACAGTTTCATCATTTTTTTTCAGCTTTGTTTTACAGTGAGATGGTGGAAATAATACAAGGCTGGTGTTCAGAAGGGCAACATTTTCCATAGGATAAATGACAAGGGACTGGAGAGAAGAGTACAGTGTAAAGTTGAACTGGTTCATCAACGAGACAAGATGGAGAAAGGAAGAAAATGTAGCCAGTGCAGTGGTGATGACCTGAAAAAGAAATGAAGGGTGTAGGGTAAGAAATGAAGGGTGTAGGGTTGCGGGGGGGGGGGTGTCACAGTGACGATGAAAAACAAGTTTGGAGTTGCAAGACAGAGGAAGAGTTGGAAAGACAATTGATTATGATTAGATAAAGGAATTTCATAGTTTGAGAAGATGGAACATTTGTGGATGATAGCAAGATTAAAGGCATGACTATCTCTGTGTATAACTACAGTGGAATGGAGGAATAGATCATGGAAAATGAGTAAGTTAAGGAATTGGGAGGTTATGTTATTTGAATGAGTGTATCTATCTGTCTACCTATTTGTGCGTGTGTGTGCATGTGTGTGTGTGTGTGTGTGTGTACATGTAGATGTGTGTGTGTGTGTGTATATATATATATATGTATATATATATATATATACATATATATAGGAAGGTATATATATATATATATATATATATATATACACAAATACATGTATATGTGTGTATGTGTGTATACTGAAATCCCCAAGTGTGAGAGTAAGAGTTGGGGAGGAGGGAAAAATTGTGAGTCAGGCGCTGAACTCACTGAAGAAGTAAGGAGAACGTCCCAGAGGCCTATAGACAACAGTTACCAGAATCTTAATTAGGGGATAAATATGGATTGAATGAACCTCAGAGAAGGACAGGTTACTGAGCAATGGTAGTAGAGGGAGAGCCTAAAAGTGGCAATGAGGAGCAAGGAGTAATCCATTTCCCCCACCATGACCAGTAAATCTGGGTGAATGAATTAAAATGTGACTAGTGGTATAAAGGTCAATTAGGAAAACTGTGTCATCAAGGAGTCAAGACTTAGTGAGTAACAGAAAAAGAAAAGTTTTAAGATGAAATGCAGTCTGTCTCTCTTGCAGCAGGCATTCCAGTGACAAGAGTAGAAGGGTTGGGTAACTTTGGGAGACTGGTGGGATTTGGTTGAGGAGGATGGGAAAAAAGAAGTGGTCAATGGGAGAACTGAGACAAGGGTTTGAACAATGGCAACTGGTATTTGAATTGCTCAGTTGGGGTGGGTATAACAGGGTAGGGTGTGTTAATCACTGAGTAATGAGTCTGAGAAGGTTATCATTGTCCAGAGGAGTCTACCCTTCAGTGGAAATGCCCTAAGGCTTGAAAAGAGATTGAGGGACAGAGTTGAGTGGAAGGTGTCTGAGCAGGGCCAAGGTGTAAGTGGCCACAGACAGGGCATGCCAGGAACTAAACAAAGGGAAGGCTAATTTTTCTCCATAAAATTATCATTGTATAAATTATTTTCCCAGTTCTTTTCATTCACTATGTATCAGTTCTTAGAGGTCTTCCCTCTGAAACTACACATTTCTTGTGCCACAATAATATTCCATTCCATATATATATATATGTAAAACTTTTTGTTTAGTTATTCCCCAATAGATCTGTATCCCCTTTTGGGGGCTACCATTAAAAGAGTTGCTATAACTATTTTTGTACACATAGTTGTTTTTCCTTATTGTTTGATCTCTTAGGGGTATGAGCCTACTTCTTGGTATAGCTGAATAAAAAGGTATGCATAGTTAAGTAACCTGAAGGGACACAGTTCCAAACTGCTTTCCAGAATAGATGGACCAATTCACAGCTCCACCAACACTACACTAGGGTATCTGTTTTCCCACAGTCTCTCAAACTTTTGTCATATTATTCTTCTGTCATCTTTGTAAAATCTGATGGGTATGGTTAAGAAGCATCATAGTTTCTTTAATGTGTTTTTCTCTAATTATTAGTGATGTGGAGGAGTTTTAGAACTTGAATTTCTTTTAAAAACTGCCTTTCAAATTCTTTGACCATTTATCATTGGGGGAATTTGAATGAGTTTCTTATAGATCTTGGAAATGAGGTCTTTGTCAGAGATATTTTGGGCAAAGTTTCAGGTTTTTTCCCCTCAGTTATTCATTTCTCTTTTAATTTTAACTGTTAGATTAGTTTTACAAGAACTTTAAAATTTTACATAATCAAAATTATCTATTTTTTTTATTCTATCACTTGCTTAGTCATGAACTCTTTCCCTTCCATAGATCTGAAAAGTAATTTCTTCCTTGCTCCTCTAATTTGCTTATTAGATCACTTTTTATCTCTAAATCATAACTCATTTTGACAAATGTTGTTAGATTGGTCTATATCTAATTTGGTCTATACCTAATTTCTACCAAACTGATTTCCAGTTTTCCCAGCAGTTTTTATCAAATAGTAAGTCCTGCCACTATTAACTGGAGTTATTGGTCTTGTTAAACACTATTCAACTGTATTTGTTTACTTCGGTATGTTACGTACCCAGTCTGTTCCACTCATAGATCATTTTTTATCCAGGACCAAATTGTTTTAATAATTACTGCTTTGTAGTACAATTTGAGATCTGTAAGCTCCTTTCCTTCCCATGTTTTTTAATTAATACTCTTGAGATTCTTGACCTTTTGTTCTTCTATATGAATTTCATTATCATACTTTCAAGCACCATAAAATGATACTTTGATAGTTTGATAGGTAAGGCACTTACTAAGTAAATTTGTTTAGCCAATATTATAATTTTTATTACACTGGCTCAACTTTCCATTAATATTTCTTCAATTTATTTAGGTCTGCCTCTATTTCTGCAAAAAGCATTTTATACTTGGATTCATACAGTTCCTGAATATGTCTCAGTGGATATGCTACTAGTGAGTTGGAGCATGCTTTCATATGGTCATCTAAACTGGGTGATTCTCCTTTTGACAGAAATTAAGTCATATCCTTTGACAAATTCTCTATTGAAGAATGGTTTATATTTGCATCAATTCCTTACATATCTTGGTCTATCATATGATGTGAAGATTACTTGCCATTCTACAATCCTCTTACATATCCATTGATTTTATTTATGCAAATTCATTTAAATTTTTTGGCCAAAATCATCTTTTTTTTATATTCTTCCTTATCACTTATTTAAGAATTTTCTCCCTCTAGCCATAGTTGAGAAAAATATCTGATCTCATTCACTTCCATTTTTTTTTAATGTATGATTTTTTTAGAGTTGGGTTGTATATCCATTTTAAGTTTACTGTAGTATGTAGAATAAGATGTTGGTCTAAATCCATTTTCTGACAAACTTTCCTGGCAGATTTTATAAAAAAGAAAGTGCTTTCCCCTCTAATTGATGTTCTTGTGTTACCAAATGTTGGACCACCCTTCTTATTGTTTTTGTTTCTTGTTTAATATAATTAATAATTAAACCCATTGAGAGCTGATGAGATCACCAAAAATGATTGAGTAGAGAGAGAAAATGGCCTAGAATAGACCAATGGGGCAAGAAGTGCACAATTACACTGCATAGGAAACTTAGAGGAATCAATCAGACCAGTAAGGAGAAGACCCAGGAAAAAGCCAAGTTATGAAAACCCAAGGAAGACAGTAAGAAAGGGAGAAGGGATGATCAGGGGTGTCAAAAGCTGCAGAAAGATGAAGATTGAAAAAAAACCATTAAATTTGGCAATTTCATGATCACTAGTAACTTATTACTCTTGGATTATATATTGAGTATAGTTTCAGTGGAATGATGGAAGCCATATAGAAAAGAGTTGAAGGCATGAGTAGACTGAGCTACTATTACCCAGTTCCCTTAGTCTTTTGCCCCATTACACCACCCTATGGAGACTATTAGCATTACATTTCACCTACCACCCATTATTGCCTTATTATGAGCAAACTCGTACCACTTGTTATTTTCTCCAAACCTGTATGTATTATAACTCTGATTACTTAGGAATAAATTGCCTCCAACATTCTTTCTCTCATTTCCATCTTCTTCAACCCAACCCTGCCTATGTGTCACTCCAATCCTGTCTACTTCTTCCACTATCTTCTGGAATTCCTATTCCATAATGGGCAAGCTTCCCTTTATTTGGAAGGCAGCCTGAGGGAGACAGGAGGTGGTATATGCAAAGACAGCCAAACAACTCAAACAAACACCAACTCAACCATCTCCCCTTATAAGTCAGTGGAGACAGCTCAGCACTCTGTATACAAAAGCCCCTGGAATAGCAGTGCTCCTCAGGTCATCTGCCCTGTTTCCTTGCCTCCACAGTCATCATCCAAGGGCAACAACTTTTGTAGAGGATGAGACAGCATCACTACAACCACCATGGATAGGCAGGTAAATTCAAAAGGTCCAGAAACAGCATCACCCCCCACCACCACTACCAATGGCCCTGCTTCTAGTCTGATCCCACAGCCATAGTCCAGGGAAGCAATCCTGAGGATCTGACCTGGCAACTGCCTCTGTGCTGCCTCCCCCACCTCTGCAGCAGCAACAGCAACAGAATGCAGAAAAGAAATTGCTTGTCACTAAAGTCCTTGGCACTGCAAAATGGTTCTACTTCAGAAATAGATATGGTTTTATTAATAGAAATGACACAAAAAAGATGCATTACCATCTGCCTTGCTGCTGTACCCTAACGACCACTAGTCCCTGCCATCTGACTCATAGCTGAAATCTCCTATATGTGTGTATTGCCTTTTAGCACTGTTTAATTCCAATCAAAACAATGACCACATCTGTCATACATTTCAGTGACACTGAATGCACTTCAAAAATTATTTATGACGAACAAAATTTGAGGTTAATGTTTTAAGGGTGCAAAGTGCACAACTAATATCAAAATAACAAGTTGGCCTTAGATAGGCCAATTTACACACAGAAGTACCAAGTCCATATGTTTATGGATAGATATGCATATACTTGTGAATTACATGCCAAGTTCATAGATACTAAATAAAAGTTATATTTCTGTATTTTTCTTTATACTAACAATATTTTTAAACAAAAATACAGTGAAGATAACTATTTCATGGAGTAATTAAGAACAAGGAAAAGAGATACCTCAAGAATAATTTTAAAAAGTCGTTCTACAGATTCCTTATTTCCAACATCTGCATCAAGAAGTGAAGCCATTGTTGGACTGTGGCTTGAATTTTGTTTCTCTGATAGACATCTCTTCCCTTCTTCAGTCAGGAGAATGGAAAGGAATTGCATGCAGGCAGTATAGAGCTTAGGGTATGTGGTAGAAAAGCCCACACATTTGCAAACTGCATCTAAAAGGTAAAGGGAGTTCAGATGTAAACTTTTAGATCCTCCCCAAATTAAACAGTGAAATGAGCAAATTGATTAGGGAATTAAAATAGTACAACGTAATATTTCCAAGGAGAGAAAACATCTTACAGTGCATGTGTTATATATTTAACTTTTAATGATAATGAATAAGTGGAATGTTCATTATTAAGTCAATTTTATTAAAATGAATAGCAAAACCAGTAAAACTTTATAACCTACAGAATTCCCTTTAGGTGCCTACATGTGTATTTGTATTATAGAGTGCCTGGAAGATTAATATGTACATAGTACGGTAGGTATTTAATTTTCTAAAATAATTTACACAAATATATCAATAATAAATATCTTTCTTGCTATTTAAAATAAAGAATTAGAATAAATAAAAATTAATCATAATAATAGTAATTATGATAGCTTACAAATAGTATTTAAAGGTTTACAAAGTAGTTTTCTCATAAAAATCCTGTTAGGTAGCAGTGAAGAATTACTATCACTATTATTTATTTTTTAGAATCCCTATTTAAGAGGTTAAACAACTTGTCTAGAGTCACACAATTAAGTGTCAGAGTCAGAAATCAAAGGTTACTTGATTCCACGTATTGCGCCTTCTCAACTATATCACACTGCCTCTAACATAAGTTTTTCAGAAAATAGTCTGGATATTCGCAAATCATTAATCCACAGGGCTTGCCTGGCCTGCCCAATTCCATCACCCTCCAGACACTAACTTCAGCCATCTAGAATTCCACAAAGCCTGGCTAGCCTTCCCTAGTATGTCCTGCTCAAAGTACCTTCTCTGGCCACCTCCTGATCCACAGGGTGTGTTTTGCCCTAGCCTGTGGAACCTGACCCTCCACCTTCAATGTCTCCTACTTTCCGGACACAAACAGTTGACTGACACCCTAGGACAACACCCAGAGATGAACCCCTGTGGGTAATGAAAATCTATGTGGACTCAATCTTCAATGATTAAAATACTCCCTGTCAGTTCACCCTGTATGTATCTTGTTCATATATAGTTGTTTATATTTTGTCTCTCCCATTAGACCGTGAGTTCTTTAAGAGCACAGAATGTTTTTTGCCTTTCTTTACATTCCCAGTGCTTAGTACAGTAGCTGGTAGCTAAAAGGTGCTTAATAAATGCTAGCTAACTTGACTTAAATATCTGCAAGCTTTATTATACATATGTATATATATTATGATTTAGAGAAGCAGCAAGGTACTGGAGTAGACTGTATGATGGGGTTGAAGTCAGGAAGATGTGGGTTCAAATCTTGCTTCAGACACTAACTGTGTAATTCTGGCCAGTCATTTAACCTCTCTTAGTCTCAGTTTCTTCATCCGCAAAATGGGTATAATAATAACACCTCTCTTATAGGGCTACTTGAGGACCAAATAATATAACATATGTCAAGCATTTTGTTCACCTTAAAATGCTAAAGAAATGCTATTAATGTTGTTGTTATTATTATTATTATTATTATTATTATTATTATTATTATTACTAAACACTAGCTAATAACATCTACATCAAGGAAGATGGAAGAGAGATGGAACAGAGAATAGAGCACTGAAATTGGAATTGAAAAGGCCTGAATTCAAATCTGACCTCAGATATTTATTACCTGTATGACCCTGGGCAATTCATTTAATCATTATATTCCTTAGATTCTTCATCCATAAAATGGAATAATAGTAGCAGTTACCCTATAGGGCTGTTGTGAGGACCAAATGAAATAATATTTGTAAGTACTTTGTAAACCTTACAGTACTATACAAAAGCTATCTATTACTATTATATTATTATTAAGGAATAATAATCAGTATATACATGATTCAGTTTTTATTTACAACTGTATTATCTAAACTACTTACTTATTTAAGAAGTTCTGCCACATTACCACCAATAGCAAAAGAAAGTTTTGATTTCACAAATATATTTTAAAATTCATACACTTTGCATATGACTACAGGCAACTAATCTCAGCCAATGTTTCATGTAACAAAGTCATAAAGCCTTACTCAAGCACAATCTATTAATTCTAAGAAAAGTATAGGTTATGATTCAGTCATTTACTTTTCATTTATAGTGATTACTAATTTTAAACATGTTTTATGTCCTGTCTAGTTCAAAAAAGGACTTCAGTATTACTAATTAGCCTAATTTTAGAATAATTCACAAACTATTCAAATAAGCATTTGTGAATTACTATGTGTGCTAGGTAAACACAGAGGATACAAAGACATAAGTGAAATGGTGCCTGCTTATACTTTTATTTTCCATTCTAGTCATTGTTTGTTGAAGTAACTTTTCATTTACTCACACAGGAAGCTCCATCTCCCAACTCTGTGCCTTTGCATCAGTTGCCCTCCATGCCTGGAAGGCTCTTCCTGCTAACCTCCTGACTTCCTTTAAGACTCAGTTCCAATTCTACCTTCTATAAGAAGCCTTTCTCCATCACCCAGCTGCTATTACCTTCCCCCTCCAAGGCTACCTTCCATCTATTCGGTATTTATCTTCTATGTACTGACTTATACATATGTTGTCTCCCCCATTACAATGTAAGCTCCCTGAGAGCAGGGACTATTGTTGTTTTTCTTTGGATTTCCAGTTTCACAGTCCCTAGCAAATAGTATTTCATAAATGCTTGTTGATTGATTGACCAATCTTTTTACATATTAGCACTTTTAATTATGGTACAGGGCTTTCTTTAGGTCACATTCTGTAACAGAATCTAAACAAAATCCTAATTAATGAATCTGCTTGTTCTTCTAAATACAGACTATTTGGACACATACCTAAATGTCATCAAAAACAACTCAAAGCCTACATCAATCACAATAAGTAATAAAATATATTAAAGAAATTATTGTGATCTGGTCAGATTCCATATAAGAATTCAGGGCTCCACATCTTACCAGGAACATTGACAAAGTGGAGTATATCCATTATGTCATAGCCTTCACAGTAAGAGAACCTTGAACTTATGCCATATAAACATCAGCTGAAGGAATGTGAATACTGAGCCTGGAGAAAAGACTATCTGATATTTATCTATAACAACAACAAGAAACACTGACATTTTTAGAGTACTTTATGGTTCATGAAGCACTTTATAGACATTATCTCAACTGATTTTCAACATCATGAGGTAGGTAGTGTAGGAATTATTATCCCCATTTGAAAAAAAGGCAAAAAGGCAAACTGATTTGCCTAAGATCACTGAACCCTGTTACTCCGGCTCCAAAACTGTGGTTCTTTCACTAACTCATTTGTTGCTGTTCAGTTGTTAGTCGTGTTTGACTTTTTGTGACCCTGTGGACCATAACATGGCAGGCCCTTCTCATCTTATTATCTGCCATCCCTTCTCCTTTTGCCTTTAATCCTTCCCAGCATCAGAGTCTTTTCCTGTCTGCTGTCTCTTGCCCTGTCTCCTCATTATATGGCCAAAGCTCTTAAGCTTCAGCTTCAGTATTTGTCCTTCCAATGAATAGTCAGAGTTAATTTTTTAAAGTATTGACTGATTTGAATCCAAGAAATTCTCAAAAGTCTTCTCAAGCACCACAATTCAAAAGCATAAGCTCTACTCACAGACATACATTACTACCAGAAAACCATAGCTTTGTCCATACAGACCTTTGTTGGCAAAGTGATATCTCTGCTTTTTAGAATGCTGTCCAAATTTGCCATAGCTTTCCTTCCAAGGAGCAAGTTATCTTTTAATTTCCTGGCTGCAGTTGCTGTCTGCAGTGATCTTTGAGCCCCAAAATATAAAATCTGACACTGCTTCCATTTCTTCTCCCTCTACTTGCCAGGAAGAAATGGGATCAGATGCCATCATCACTAAATCATAACTACCTTTAAATATTTTAAGGGTTATCATGTAGAAGAAGTAAGCCTATTCTAGTTGCCTGATCCTCTTTAATATTAGTGCCTTCCCTCTAAGATATCTCTGGTTAATCTTGTAAAAATCTTGTTAGCATAGAGTTGTTTACATGTTAACTCCCCTTTCTGACTGTAAGCTCCTTGAAATCAGGGCCTATTTTTGCCTTTCTTTGAATCCCCAGCACTTAGCCCAGTACCTGGTGGTAAGTGCTTAATAAATGCTTGTTGACTTCACTTGTCCCAGAGGACAGAACTAAAACTAATGGATAGGCATTAAAGGAAGACAGATTTCAATTAAATATAATGAAACTTCTTATGAATTAGAGCTGTCCAAAGCTAAATTGTGTTGTCTTGGAACAAGGGTTCTTAATCTTTTTTTGTATCATGGATTCCTTTGGTATTCTGGTGAGGATTCTGAACTCCTTCTCAGATTAATGTTTTTAAATGTATAACATAAAATAGTAAGATTATAAAGAAAATCAATTTTGCTGAAATAAAGTTATCAACATTTTTTTAAAAAACCACAGTCATAGATCCAGGTTAGGAACCATTACCTTAGAAGGCAGTAAATCTTCCTTCCTCCTAGTACCAATAAAAGTGTTTAAGCAGAAACTAAATGTCTACTTGTCCAGGAAGTTGTAGGTAAGGATAACATTTTGGGTAGGGGTTGGCTAGATAACTTAAAAGTTCTTTCCAATTTTTTAATTCTCTGATTGAGCTTTTGTGTAAGTAAATTATACTTAAAGTCTTCCTCAGTCAAGAGATAAATTAACATTTTGAAACTGGGGGAAAATATGCCAGTTATACAGATTAATTTTAACAATTAAAGTTATTCTGTACTAAAACAATTTATATAGCTTCCAAACATACGATATTCTACCAGAAGCAATAGGCAATTTAACATCTCCTAAAAAACCTGGAATGGCTGGAGAAAGTGAGGTTTATTTGTCTTATATGAACAGATGGATTAACTGGTCTAAATTACAGGCCCAACTTAATATCACTGTTGTTATAAGAAGCATATAAGATTTTTCCAATATATTGGAAATTACAGACTTTCTCAGGAGTAACTTTCAACAACAGGAACCCCTTACAGAGGCTCAAGTATAAACATACCAATGACAGGAATGTCAATTGTTTTATTTCTTGCTCTCTCCCTTAATATTCCAGCCCTAAATCACACTCCACTATCGCCAGCAGATGTACAGGAGCTATGTCTTCAGAACAACAAAATAACTAATTGGAAGTTAAAAAAACTTTAGTCAAAACAATCACTGGTTATCGTAGAAATATAAAAGTTCAGTTACTTTTAAAATGATTCAATAAGATATTTTGTCTTGAAATAGCATTCAATTTAACAATTTATATTAACATTATTCTATTGAAATCTACTCAAAAGCTAAAAGCAAATAACATTACCAATTGAAAACTAAAATTATGAAAGGGCCAAATACAGCATTCATTTTACTTTGTCATCTAAGTACTTTTATTCTCAGTTATTAAAATTCCAGCAATGAGGAACATGAATGCCTAAATTCACTTTTGCTGATATTGTCTTACGAGTCAACATGTCTATGTTTGTGCTTTTAAGTTAGACTTCAAACTGTTCCAGAAAGGCACCCCTCTCTTCTGTCCTTTTATACCAATAACAGTAATTTAAAAGCACATTGTGAACTCAATATGTAAATACAAGTTATATATAAATACATAAAACTGTTTGATTGTGGTTTATTTCCTCTCAAATATTTAATAAAAAGTATCCTTATCTTACAGTTAGCAGGAAAGTCCAAAATCATTTAAAAGCTGGTGTTACCAATGATAGCAGGCCAATCCTTTGCCAGAGCTTCTGTTACAGATAGAAGGGAGGACTGACTTGTTTTCCTCAGTAATGTAGCCAGGAGGTTAAAAACGTCAGTCCATGACTGATAAAATGCATGTCTTAATTCAGAATCTGTAAAATCAAATTCAGAAATTTCAGTCAAGTACTATTCTGAATATGCTACATGTCCACAAAAGCCTATGCACTTGTCAAATGCAGAAAAACATAAAGCAGCTAAGTTCCAAATGCATTTCAATTAGCTTTCCTTTGTATTTCTACTTTGAAAAAGGAAAACAAAAGAATAATTTCTTTCAGGAATTTTCAAAGCACTTTTAAAATAAATAACTATACTGTTGCTAGACATAGATAAGCAAAAATAAAGATTAGTATGAAAACATAAATAATACAAATATGCTTTAGCTATAAGGGAAAAATGAAGTAACAAGCTAAAATTAATCAGCAATTCAGAAGTACATCTGTACAATGTATTACAAAGATCTGCCTTAGTCATCTGGTGTACTTGTGCTAAAGTGCCGAAAAATATCTAAATTGTGAAAAATATGGAGACAAGTCAAGTAGGCTGAAGAGAGTCCTGGCTTCTTCCTTATTCCTCAATTCCTTCTGGTGCTAAATCTGGGATGTGGTGGCAGTAATCCTTAGCTCTGATCAACAAATTGGGAAGGGCCTTAATTAAAGTATGCAGAGTCTGGCTGAATAGTGCCTTGCTCCACAATTAGTGGTAAGGAGAAGATGAAATTATGTCCTCTCACTGTCTTTCTCCAAATGTTCTTATTTATTTTTAAATTTATTTTTGATCCTATCTAGACCTGGGATTTCATTGGTATAGGCAATTCCAGGTGAGAAAACTCCCTCTCCCAATGATGATTAGCTATTCTTCACTCTGGATCTCATGGATTGGACAGCAATAGTTTCCTGCCCAAGCACCACTTATTAGTTATTTTTGGGGCTCTCCTAGCTCAGAATGAATGTAAATAGTAACTTTCTCTTTTGGCCAGCGACCCTGAGGATCTTCCCTCCCAGTTTGATTTTTTTTTTTCCCACTAAAGGGGCCATCCCTTAACTCATTTCTTAAATAGGCCTATTCAGTGAATGGGCATTGTCTCACTCAAAGTGAGAGCCTAAAAATACCGCAGCAGCTTAAAAGGGCCAAGGTCTTCCACTGCATCATAGGCCATTTCCAGTTGTCCTGAATGATATCTGGACACTGGACCCAGATGGCTCTGGAGGAGAAAGTGAGGCTAGTGACTATGCACAGCCCTCTCTTACTCAAATCAAAGTCAATTGCAAGTCATGTCATCATCTCCCTGATGTCATGGTCCTCTTTGAGAATGAAGGACAAACAATACAACACAACCACAACACAGATCTTCTACAATTTATGGTCCTCCAAAGTTTCCTGGGGGCACTAAGAGATTATGTATTAGCCTAGAACCATAAAGCCAGCATGTGTCCTAGGTCTTCCTGACTTAAGGGCTTCTTTGTATCTTCCAATATAGTCACTCAGCCTCTCTCTTCTCCAAATGACTTCCTTTAAAATTGAGCATGCATATAAATTCCAAAGAAACACAGAAAGAATCAGCACAAAGGCTTTACTTGTACACTATTACAACAAATTATCTTCACCAAATAAATATTTATTTTATCTGTTATTTTGCATAATGTTTCATTTTGTTTTTTTAAATCATGTCTTCCCTAATCTTGAAGAACCTGGATGGTGCTGACAAAGGATCATGAACAACTTCAATTAGATTACTTGTTTCCAGTGTATCCAAAGTTTCTTTAGCTGGTGATTGTCCCAGACCCTAACTGAGAAAACACATTCCTAGAACTGTATAAATTATGATATACTCTAGGAGTCAACAGCACCAAAAGTTGCTTCTTCCTATTGACACCATGTATACTTACTTCTCTTCTTCAGTTGTAAAATTGCATTAACTTCCCTTGAACTCTTACTTTCCTAGATCCACTTAAATTCATCTAGATGACTAAGCAAGTTAAAAAAATTTTTCTAAATATTAGCAAGGAACAAAATAAATAAGCAAATCTATAAAGAACTATCTAGTACAAAATAAGCCCAAATTAATTTTATTGGATCAATACTACCATGTCTCTCTCTAGACTAAAAAACAAATAATGACATATTACCAAAGTCGTCTTTAGTGTACATGGTAAGGAGTGTGAAGATCTTTTCTAGCAGAGGTTTTAGTAGCTCATCCTGGTTCACAAGGCTGTGGTCTATCAATAAACATGACATGAGAAGTCTAGACAGAGAACAGAAATACTCCAGTAGGAATGAAATCTGTTGAATGAAATAAGCAAGAAACAAAATGAACCATAGGATAGAGTTGGAAAGGCCATAACAGATTATCTACCTCAACTCTTTCTTTTTTACAGTTGAGGAAATTGGGACTAAGTATTAGCTTAGTGACTTATCATACACACAATTAAGTAAGAAAGCCAGAATTCAAACCCAGGTCCTTTGATTCAAACTCCAATGTTCCTCCCCAAACAGTGCACTTTAAAACATATTTAAATGAAAATTGTTGTTTTTCTCCCCCTAGGCAAGAGAATACTATCCATTAGTAAAGTGAAAATACATGGAACCATCCCAAATTATAAAAATAAAGCAACCCAGGCAATCATTAAGCTTGAATACATGGAAGGTGAAACATTGCAGACTTGACATTCTTCTAGGATGACATTAATAGCAACATTAATATAATGGTTAATTTATTTGTGACAGCAAGCGCTCAAGTCTGTTTTCAATGCTACAGTTTAATGAAAACGTGTGTGTATAGGTACTTTTGAGATATCAGCACTTGAGCAAAAAATGTACTATAAATTAGTGGACTCTATGGTAGAGTGTTGTGGACTCTTCTGGGGAAATTCAGACCTACCAACATCATCAATTAATGAGTTCCCATTCTTCCAGTACCATAAATTACATAAATGACATATATTATGACATCGGCACAGCTTGGCTTACTGTTAGGTATAGCAATTCATAAACCTTATAGTTTTCTTTTCCTTCCTCATGAATTTATTTACAGTAATATTCACATCTTCCATTTATATTTCATAAGGTTCATATTCTGAAGCTTCATTGTGCTATGTGGGCTTTTACTCTGATGCTGGTATTAGGTTCAACATTACATATGGAACACAAGCTATGATATGTCCTATTAAGCTAGAAAGGCTTTGGGTACAGGCCCAGCAGTGGATTAGATGTACAATGTCCTAGGATGAGTCTAGCTAAGTTTGGATAAGATCATCACCAGAGAACTGCCCATCAGATGCTGAACTTTTAAAGTTGATGAAACTCATGAAGATCACTACTAAGCTGTAGAGGGAGGGCCTTGTGATCTGCACTGGTAAAGGAGCATCCATGCTACTGAAAAAAAAAGATCCCTGAAATGTTGAAATAAGTAATACTTATCCAAAGGTCAGATGTCTGACAAATTCAACCATCTATAACACAGACATAAATATGGAAGTGAAAAAAGTATCTCAGAAAAAATTATCACCAAATTCAGAACTTTTATTTCTTAGAAAGAACACTGAACAACAACACTCAAACACTTGACCAGACAACTGTGGTAAGGCAACACATGAATTACACAGAAGAACTTAATAAAAAAACAAAACAAAACAAAACAAACCCTACCAACAAGAAACAAAAATGTAGCAAGAATAGAAAGAGCACTGCACCAAGTCAGTGGACAATAGTGCCTTTCACAACTAAGATTTTAAAACTATCACAAATTATAGAAGGACAAGATTCTGAGTCATTTCCTAGAGGAACAAACAACCTCATATATACATAAATATCAATAAGCTATGAGGATCTCACTCTATATGTAGCATAGTGTCCTTCAGCAAAGTCCTGCTCTGATACATAGAGGTCACAAAATTAGGGCTGGAAAGGACTCAGCTTCCTCATTTTATAGATAAGGAATCTGAGACCAGAAAGGACTAAATGACTCACCAGAATCCACAGGGCTTAATAAGTAACAGATTCAAAGCCAGGTCCTTTGACTCCAAATACAACACTCTTTCTATCGCCCTGTACTTCCATTCCTACAGGCTCTATCAAAGGAGCACAAGGTTTAGTGGTTATGCCTACCTAGAAATAAAGACTTGGCTTTGGGCCTAATTTGAGGACTGGTCTAGCTAAGATTGGGTGGCCACCAGAGGGTTCACTCTGGCCAGCAATTCATGAAACTCTTTAAGATGTATGTGAAGTGGTTACATTCTTGTTGATGAGTATAATGGTATAATAATTGAAGTTCATAATGTTGACTTTTAATTATCAAGAAAAGGACACATTATGTTCAGAATGTTTTACAAATACTTCTATGACTTCTTACAGATATTTTTACAAGATTGCCATAAAAAAGCTATTTTTTTTAAAAAAGCTTTGGGCTTGAAGATAGAAGCTTTGGTTTAGAAAATGTGCTTCTATAGATCATCTAACTTTCTATTAATCATCTATAAATGAAGAATCACTATATTGTTATTTTTATTCAAAGCAACATAAAAGAGACAATTTTAATTACTTTCCTTTCCCAGTCAACATTTATTGATTCTAATAAGCACAAAGTAATATATCAGATATCCATATAATGGATACTTTAAATAAGAAAAAATGGCATTGTGAAGGAAGAGTTACAGGACATAAAAACATAATACGTTTATCTTAAATTAGTAGCAATAGCTGAGTCATTAATTCAGATTGGTTTAATTTTAGCTATCCACTTTGAAGAATATTTTGTGCTCCCTACCCCCACCTTAACCATGCTTTTCTACCCCCGAATAGTAGCTGTTCACAAATGTTATGTCTTATGAGTGTCTTTTAGATCAGATACTGATTCTACCATTTAACTACTTGTGAAATATAAAGATTTTCATTAAAATGATAATGAAATTTGGCACCATAAATAGACCATCATACTTGATGTTACCCCAAATAAAACAACAGTGTAGACAGTATTAATGTTGCCATTAAAGTCATTCTAACACTTTAAAATATTATTTTTGCCCACTAAGTATTAAAGTTTGATAATCAGAGCTGTTTTGCTTAATTTTTATAATTCTTTATGAAGTAACTTAGTGAAATTATAAAATGGAGTTAGATATATACAATCTTTTCCCATATCATAATTATTGTTCTTCTAAAGCTCCATCTTTCTTTATATATAATTAAAGCAGCTTTGAAACAAGTTCAAACAATTTATCAGCTACTAACATATTCATCAGTACTTCCAATATTGATAAACCAATAGATTATGTTTTAAGGGTCTATAATTTAGTATTATAATGTTCATTTTGGATGATGTCAGAGAGTATTAGGAGCACAAATGATAACATTACCAACTGTAGTTAAAACTTTTAGAAATATTCTTGGGGTGCTTTGTCTATTTTGTTTTTAAATCTGGAGCCAAGCAGGTTCACAATAACTTCTACTAGCCTGGATATAACACACCTAATACTCAGTAGGTCAGTGGGGAAAGAGACAAATTGTATTAAACTTACATGCTGTAAGTTGTAATAAAGTAAAAGAATCCTCATTTTTATGGCTTTTCTTATTGGGTCATCTGGTGGCCATTTATGAAATAAATACTTATTAAAGAGTAAATTAATAATTGAATAAAAAAACTATTATTAAGCACTGTTCAATGTCAAGCTGAGGGCTATGAATATAAATACAAAAGACAGATCTTTCCTTAGATGATGGGGAGTTGGAGGGGTAGGAGGAACTAGGATATGTAAAGTTACTATTGAGACATACAGGGAGTAGGGAGTAAAATAAAGCATGATTGAGGCCTTACTGAAACAGTGAATCAAGTAAGACACACAGTTATCAGGGTAGTGAAGCCCCAAGACCAAGCTTCCAGTGCTGAAATGATTAAAACCTATACTTTAACTAACTTGTAGATATTAACTTTAGAGATTTAAAGAACACACAGAGAGAAAATTAAAGTACAACAATTTTTAAAAACATATTTAAAAGCTTGCACCTATTAACTTTTGAAAATGAACACAATTCAATGAGCCAAAATTTTAATGCACTCCATTAACATGAAAATGTACATACAGCCTACAGAGATGACATAAGCTCAATGACTTATTTTTAGATGAGGAACCAGTGTTCTAAAGAAGTTAGATGACTTTGCCTAAGATCGTATATTGGTAGGTAGAACTGGACTAGAATCCATGTTTCTATATTAGTTGTTCTTGGTCAGGTCTGACATAGAAGAACCTGATTGTTCAGGGTCAGTGTTAGAACAAAATGAGACTCTTGTAGAAATATCACTTTTAACAAAATAAAGTTTGCTCAATAGCGGCATAAAAAGGGTACTCAGAAAAGATCTAACATTGGTTCAGTCCTGAAGAGCTCCTCTCATTTGGAATGTTCCCACTTGGAACAATTGGACAGAAGATCATATTGACTCATGCCACAATGGGAAGTCCATCAAGCCCAAGGAGCCCTGTCTTCTGAAGTTTTAGCTTTTTATAATTTAGGACACTGGGAAGCGAGGTCAATGGTTTGAGCCTTAGTACCCAGACCAATTAAATACTGAGGATTGTTTCACTGCCTTCTTAGAGAAAAACTAGCCCAGGTAGCAGGGACCTTCCAGTCTTCTTAGGTCATGTATATTTAATTTCTAGCTTTGCAAAGTGAATTACTACTACTAACCAGATTAGTAGTAGATGTTTTTCCTACTACAGTATTCCATTACTATTTTCACTATAATAACCATGCTGCTTCATATTTAAGCTAAATCTAAGTCTAAAATTCCATGAAGATTTTACATAAGGATAATGTTATGAGTCTTTATATAAGAAACATTGTTACCCACTCCCAAACTACAAAGCTAACATCTTCTCAGTAGTAACCATTTGTGATAAGTAAGCAAAAGACAACTAACCTGAGCTTTAGCATGTTCAACAGGAGTTGAGTAAGATAAGGGGATGCTGAGCTCTTGAATGCATTTCTCCAACAAAGGAACATTAAAAGCCCTAAACAAAACAGAAAAAAAGAAAAACAAATTAGACAGTTGGTGTAGTTTTCCAAAAGAGCAATAACTCACAATTTAAAAGTGTAAAGAAACTTAAGGGAACAAGAACAAAAATTAATATTAAATAGTTCAAGAAAGAACAGAAGCTTACAAAAGACAGCACCTGTACAATTTCAAAAGGGATTATACAAATAGTAGGGAGATGAATATATAAGGCAAAGTAGTCTACAAGACTCCTATGTCCCTTAGTAAAACATTAAAGGCAAACAGAAATCTAACCCCCATATAGGAAGGAAAAGAAAGAAAAGTGACAATCTAGTAGCTGCTAAAATAAGAATCACATGGATCACATCAAACAATCAATCAGCATTTACTACTATCTGACAGGCACTGTAAGAGAAACTGAGAATACAAAAAGAATTGTGACACATACTGGGGGGTACAACATATTCACAGATAAGTAAATAAAGGCTATATACAAAATAAATGTTCATTAATAAGAGGGCACCGGAAATAGGAGAAATCAGGATGTGATCACGATCTTCTTAGAGAAGGATGTGGCATGAGCCATACCTCAAAGGGAACAAGAAGTTCCAAGAGCAGAGATAAGGGGCATAAGGGAATAAGGGGAAGCCTGAGTAGTATGAGTGGTAGCTCTCCTCTTTTTTTAGGTCTTCATTCCCCCTTATGAGTACTATCTTCCTCCGTCAGAATATAAGCCCCTTGAGGGTAGTAGCAGTCTTGTTTGCTTCTATTTTAATCCTCAAGGCTTAGCACAATGCCTAGCATACAGTATGCACTTTAGAAATGTTTTATCTATCTAAAATTGACAAATTTTGGCAACCAATTAGCTATCAGGGTTGTAAAAATGAAGAGATGAGATGACTCAGATTGCAAACCTGGATGATTAGAAGAATGATGATGCCACTGGCAGAAATAAGGAAATTAGAAAAATAAGTGGATTTAGGGGTAAAGATAATGAGTTCTGTTTTGGGACTAATTGAGTTTGAGATGCATATGGGACATCCAAGTGATAGCTAGCACAAGAATCTATTTTTAAAAAAGGTAAGTTCTAAAAAAATAGGGGCTAAATCAAATCACCTAAGAAAGGTATAAACTAGTTAGGGGATTTAGATGAGAAAGATAAAGGCAGTAAATAAAATACAACTTACAAAGTAAAAGTATATGGAAGAAAATATTATTCCCTAAACATCTGCAAGACTTCCAGAAAGACAAAGAAACATGGAACTTTGCTCTACTACCGACTCTACTGATCTTTTGACTTGACTACAAACTCTTAACGGTCCCTCATTTCCACTTTCTCAATTTATCCTACATGTAGCAGTGAGAATGTTCTTCAAAAGTCATTTTCAGGTATCTACAAGGATTTCCAACTGTCTGGCAAATCAGTTGGTCAACCAGCCTGCCATCAATATTACCTGAGTACTATAGTAGGCACCACGAAGAAATAAGAATGACCTGCTCTTTAGAAGTTCACAGATTAAAAAAAACAGGACATACAGAAAAATTACTTAAGACTAAGCAACATGTAAGTCCACAAAGACTAATAAAATATGGCAAATATTAATCCATTTAAGAGTAGTAGCCCCTTTCCCCATGCCTTGATCAGATTAGGTAAATGATTCTCCAAGGATATTTAGAAAGTTGTTACTATTGTTTGTTTGATGAAACAGCAACTGTTAACTCACCCTTGTTTAATCTTGACCGTGGAATTTTGTCTTTGTTTATGAATACTATAAATTGAATAGAAACCTTTTTCTAAGGAGGGATAATTCCAATTAGGAGGGACAACTTCTGTTTTAAGTGCCTGCTTTAAGTTGTTGACTTGTTGACTTGACTAAAACTGATGAAAATTCTCTGAAAGCTAGATAACTACTTCAAATGAGTCCTGAATAGAAGCATGAGTAAGGCAAAAATTAATCTAATTCCTTTATACCAGCAAATCTATTCATTAAGTTAATATCATTTTAGTCTCATACCCACAGAAAGCCTTTAAGATATTGGTCTTATGGAATGCAGATACAGTATTCTTTGGAACAACTATCAGTAGGTTGTCCAAAAGGCTGCACATTGCTGAAAGAAGAGGAGGAGTTACAATACACTGTTTTGACAAAGGAGCAGAAAGGGGAGAATCTTGATGACTTGAAGGTGATGTTGTTGTGGTGTCACTCTGACCTATCACAAAAAAAAGAAAGAGAACACAAAAATGAGGTTAAATTTAGTTTCATTTATGACCATTTAAAACATTTCTCATTTTTAGAGATGGTGCAGTGAATAGAATGCTGGATTTGGAGTTGGAAACCCCCCAAGTTCAAATCATATCTCAAATAAGAACTAACTTTATAACCCTGGACAAGTCACTTAACCTCTCTCTACTTCAGTTTCCTCATCTATAAAATGGAGATAATAAGAACACCAACCACACAGGGTTGTTGTAATGATACACTGAGATAATATTTGTAAAGTGCTTTGCAAACCATAAATAGCTATGTAATGCTATCTATTAGTAGTAGTAGTGACCATCTTTATAACACGTAACTAATTACAATGTTTTATATTATTTTTTAATCTGTATAATGTCCTTATGAAGTAGGAGAGTGACAAGTTATTTATTCACATTTCCAAAAACATGGAAGCTAATTTGATTTCCCCAAGTTAGCAAAATGAAGCCATGTTAGTGGTCAAAAAGGTAGTATATATAAAATCTGTTATTTGTATTCTAAAGAAAACTCTTTCTCACTTTAAGCTGATGAGGCTGGGAGAAAAATTTAATCCCATGAAAAATTTAAAACATTTACTAATTATGCATCTTGGTATACTGAAAAGAATTCTGGCTTTAAAGTTGAAGAGCACAGAATCAAATTCTGCCTGTAACTTATTACCTATGTGACAATGTGTAAGTAAATCTTAACCTCTTTGGGCCTTGGTTTCCTCATTGTAAAATGAAGGGGTTGGACTGGATAGCCTCTAAGGTCTCTTCTAGTTCTAAATATATACATGATATACCTATACCTATACATATACATATATATACATATATGTGTAGATAGATATAGTATTGAGTAGAGACAAGAAAGATAGGCAATGAAATCAAGATTTGACAATTCTAAATAAATTTAATAAATATATTTTCTTGCTACTTTGATAGACTGGAATTATCCTAATTATTTATGATCGTCCCAAATTTGATAGGAAATCAATAAAACTATCTTGTGTGCTGACATATCATTGGCTTAAAAAATAGCCTTATATGAGAGCTGGCTGGAAGTTATTGTTATCTGTATATACTTTGGTTTGATTTTCAGTTTCTAAATTTGCATAAAGGATTCTAGCCATCACGAAAAATGGCACAATGATTTCTCAGTTAAAAAATAGCACATTAACTAAATAAGAAAAAAAAGTATTGTTAATTAGAAAGGGAGTAACTTTTACCAAATCTCATATATTAAAAAAATTTACCTCTGCTTATTATTTTGAAAATATGCTAGAAATAAATTCAAAATAATTATTTGTTACAAGTTTTTAGGATAACTGAAAACAAACACAGGTCTGATATTTGTAACACTATGCAAGGTTGTTTGGTGTTTTTTTTTCCCACCTCAATAAAAGGAGACCATGTTGTGGTTATTTGGTTAAGTTTAAACTTGAGATAACTGATCAGCTAGTGTAAGGGTTCTTAACCCAATTTTTTAAATAGTCTGATAATTGGATTTCAATATAATTGATTTCCTTTGTAATCCTATATATTTTATTTTAAAATTTAAAAACACTATTCTAAGAAAGGGTTCAGAGACTTAACTAGCACTTAGCACACTGCCTGGCACATAATAAGCACTTAATAAATGCCTGTTAACTTGGCCAGAGTGCCAAAGAGGTCCATGTGCTATTCTCTGTAAAACTCAAGTAATCATATTTTGACAATTTTGATATGCATATTTATCACATCAATACAACTCAAAATGGGAAACTGATTACTAAATTGAAAGACAAGAATCCAATGAAATTCATAAGAATTAAAAATAACTAAATTATAATTTTTTAAAAAGTTATTTTTACATTGTGTTGTCCTTCCAGGCAGTTTTCTTTTTCTTTATTTTTTTGTTTCAAATCTGTTTTACATTGGTGAAAATTTTTCAAATCAGAGACTTATTGCTTTTGCCTAAAACCCAATGTAAAACTTGTAAAACAAAGAATAGGTATATTAGGATCATAAAAATACACTAGAAAATATATTTCAAAGAGAATAGAATTGAAGATATTTCCAAAAATTAATGTCAAAACTTAAAAAACCAAAACAAAACAAACTGATTTCCTGACTGTAAGTACTTTCTCCATCACTACAAATTACCAACCCTTTATTGTTTGGTACTAAGGATCTCAGAGTTAGAAGGGACATTAGAAGCTTCCTAGTCCAACTTCTACAACTTACCTGACAAGTGATCATCAGCCTTTCCTTGCAGGCTTCCAAAAAAGGAAAACTCACTACCTCCCAGGGAAGTCCACTTCCCTTTTGTGAAATTTTAATTGTTAGGAAGTTTTTCCTTATATTGACTCTAAATTTGCCTCTTTACTACTTGTACTGCTTGCAATTATGCCCTGTGGGGTCAAATAGAATAAAAACATTTCCATACAACTTCTCTTTCATATGCCTAAGGACAGCTACCACATTCACTGACTCAGTCCCACTATGTCTTCTCCTAGCTAAAGATTCTCAGTACTTTCAACTGATATTCATAAAACATAATCTGGAGGTTTTTAGACATCCTAGTTCTCCTCCCCTGGGTACTCTCCAAGTTATCATAGTAGTTGCAAAAATATGGAACCTGAAAATGTTGGGAACTGAACACAATACTCAGATGTGGACCTATCATGCAGAGATCTATTATTTACTCTGTCTTAGAAATTATTATTCTTTTAATGTAGCCAAAAAACATACTCCATTTCTGCTTGCCATATTATACTGTTGATTCATACCAGTCAGTCAATAAACATTTATTAAGCTCTTGTTATGTGCTGAGCACTGAGTTAAACACTAGGAATACAAAGAAAGGCAAAAGACAGTCTTTACCTTAGAACAGCGTTATTATTACATAGAGGTGGATGTCCACTAAAACTGCAAGGTCTTTTCTGGATAGCCCTACCTTTCTCATTTTATACTAATGAAGTTAAAATTTTGAACCTGAGTAAAAGTTTATCTGTATTAGAATGTATCTTACTAAATCTGGTCCAATGATATAGCATAGAGGTGTCAAAGTTGTAGCTGTAGCAGTATGACCTGAACCAAATTAAGATATAATTGGGAAATGTTTAGCAAAATAAATAAAAATACAATACAATACAGAAAAGGTTAATTTGTGGTTTTCTAAGTATGGCATGCATGGATCTGTTTCTGCTTGAGTTTGACATTACTGGTTTATCCCATTAAGAATTTTTTAGCCACGTCATTCACAATGGAGGCTTTCCCACCCATGTCTGTACCATCTTCAAATCTACCTTTATCCAATTCTGTGATTAAAAAATACTGAATTTCAAAAAGCAAATGACAGATCTCTCTACTGGATATGTGATTCCAAATTGACATCCTACCACTTTTTGGATCTGGTCATTCAACCAGTTTTGAATGCACCTAATTAAACTACCATCTAGTCAACATCACTCATTTTTTCCAGGGAGAATAATGAGAGGATTTGTCAAATGTTTCATTAAAATCTGACATCTACAAAATTCTAATATAGAAAGTAGACAATTTCATGAGTTAAGGCAAAAAATGTTCATCACATTTTAGTTATGACCATTCTGAATTTAGCTCATTTTGTTCTCAGATATTGGACTCCGAACCTATCACCAGGCCTATAATCAAAACCTTTCAGATTGGGAGGAATTGTCAGAGGTTGTGATCTGCTGGCATAGTCTCTAAAAACTAAGGTCAGTTATTCTGCCTTCAAGAGTATGGCAGTAGAAAGAAAGGAGTGGGAACTTTAAGAGATGATCCCTCAAGAAAGGAGAAAGAGAAAGTACCAAAAATAGCCCCTACATACTCAGCATCATCAAAATGAACTGAGAATGTTCATCAAATGGTTGAAAGGTAGAGCTCTAGACCTCTCCTATCATCTTGACTGATGACTCAACATGTCTCATTTCTTCATTCTAAAGTTTTTCTCTGGCCATGGAACACACAACATTGGCAGTATAGGTAGATAGTTCCTAGGTACTTAGAGCCAGTCATGTGGGAAAAAGGATAGAGAGCTGGCCTTGGAGTCAGGAAGACCTGAATTCTAGCCTCAGATATTTACTGGCTGTGTGATCCTGGGCAAGTCACTTAACCTGTTTGTTTGAGAATACCCAATTGTTAAATGAGGATCATAGTCCCTACCTCTCAGGGTTGTTGTGAGGATCAGAAATAATATTTGTTAAGCACTTAGCACAGTGCTGGGTAGGTGCTTAACAAATGTTTGTTCTCTTCCTCCCTTTTCTTTCCCCCTCTCCCTCTAAATAGATGGCTTTTCCCAGAACTTCCATTTAAAAAGGTCACCCAGGCTGCTGTCTCATTCATCTCCACGCTGCACTGAGGACTTCCTCTACCAAGCCTGGACCTCATGACTTAGATTCTCCCCTTACTTTTCAGCCTCCTTTTATGTGTTGTCTTCCTCCATTAGAATGTAAATTCCTTGAGGGCCGGGACGCTCTTTCTACTAGTATTTGTATTCCCAGCATTTAGTACAATAAGCACTTAATAAACACTATTTGAATGTGCTAGGTGCAATGATGAGGTATAGAGAGAGGGTTTTTGCAGGGCAGAAAGCATGAACAGTAGAAATTAATATATTTTGATATAGAAAGATAAATTCTTGACTGTGTATAAAGGATCAACTACCTCTTCTATAAGAGGGAAAGGACCTATTTTGTTCCTAAAGTTGAAGGCTATTCAAGTTGACTGACCAAAAGAATTTCTAGAAGGCAGTATAAGCATATCAGAATGAATGACTTCCAAAATGAACAAAATACATTAGTGAACTGACATATTCTGGCAAAAGAACAAGGGATTAAAAATATTAATTATCAGTCACCTGATCTAAAAATCAAACAAATATTTCTGTGAATAAAGAGAACTTTGGGAATTAGAATCTTAAGGGTGAATTCCTAACTCTTATTTATTTTTCAAAAGACTTACCTGATACATTTCATTATGATTATGATTATGATTATGATTACATTCCTTGCCTGAATTTAACATTTAAATATTTGTCTTGTCTAATTTGCAATTTTAAAACATTAGCAATTTAAATCTATAAGAAGGAGGATTACCTTGAGCCACAAGTCGATCTTTCAATTCAGAAATAATAATGTTTGTTGGTGTTGCATGTGGTGGAACATCAGCACTTTCTAATGAAGATGGCACTAAAGGAACCTAAAAACCCATAAAGAAAAATATGCTTTACTCTTCAGTGTGAGAACAGGGACAAGAAATTCATGAAAGTTCACAGAATCACAGAATCCAAGAGCTGTAAGTGACCTTCAGGGGTCACCTAAACTGTACCTGACCACAAATCCTTCCAAGAAAAACCCCAATGGGTAGTCATTTAGCCTCTATTCTAATTTGTTATTGTTTTTGTTCAGTCATTCAGTTATGTCAGACTCTACATGACATCTATGGGATTTTCTTGGCAAAGACACTGGAGTAGTGTACCATTTCCTCCCCATTTTACAGATGAGGAATTGAGGCAAACAGGGATTAAGTGACTGGCCCAGGGTCACATAGCTAGTAAAGCATCAAAGGCCACATTTGAACTCAGATCTTCCTGATTGCAGGCATGGTGTTTTAGGATGTCTTTAATTATTAGAAAAATTTTCTCTACAGTCAATCTGAAATTTCATTTGCAATTTCCACCCGCTTCCCTCAGAAGCTAAATGGACCAAGTCTAATACTTCCTCTGCATAAGAGATCTTCAAATACTTGAAAATATCTATTATATCCTTTTGAGTCTTCTATTCTCTAGGGTAAATATTTCTAGTTTTTTCAATGGATCTTCATATGCACATTGTCTCTCATTCATCATCTATTAATCTTTGTCATTCTTTTCAACTTGTCTATGTTTTTTTCTAAATGCCTAGTACTTGAGCATGGCCAGGCCAGGGAAGAACAAAATAGAACTATTATTCCTTCCTTTTGGACAAGATGCCTTTTTTCATGTGGCCTAGAACTGAATTTACTTTCTTCGCTTCCAAGTCACATTGTTGCTTTGTGCTTGTAGTCAAGAAAACTCCATGGATCCCAAATCTTGTCTAACCATGCCTCCATCATCCTGTATTTATGAGGCTGATTTTTAAAACCCAAGTACAGAACTTTACAAATGCCCTTAATTGATTTTATTTTACTCTACTCAGTATATAACTTTAGCCTATCAAGATCTTTTTAGCTCCTGATTCTGTCATTCAGTGTCTTAGTTATACCTTCATGATAAATGCCATATACAAACTTGAGAGTAATGGTATATGTGCCTTTATCTAAGTCATTGATGAAAAATGTTGAATAACAGAAGGCCAAAGAAAGATCCCTCAGAAACTCCCATAAAGATCTTCCTTCTAAGCTGACATTGAACATTTAATGACTTTGCTTTTGATCATTCAACCAGCTCCAAATCCACCTAATAATATATCATCTAGTCCTTATTTCTATATCTCAACCATAAGCACAGCAAGACAAACTTTTGTTAAATATTTTGCTACAATCTAAGTATGCTAATATCTATAGCATCCTCCTGATCTACCAACCTAGTTATACAGAATAAATGAGATTAGTTTGGCATAGCCTGTTATTGATAAAGTCATCATACTGATAAAGTGATCACTATTTTTCCCTTTTAGCCCTCACATGTCATTACCTTTTGTTCATTTGCTGAGAAAGTAAATGACATTTTTTATTCCAAGTAACCAACCTACTAAGTATTTTACTCTGAAGGCTATAACAGATCCCCTGCATCTGCAACCACACTTTATGAAACATGTTACTAGTATATTCTTTACAGTCCCAAAAGACGAGAGGTTCTGAGAAGCAGTATCACTTGTGATCTCAAGGTATCAGGCACTCTTCTTAGATAAAGATCAGAGTGCAGACCAAGAAAGCAGTGACCACACCTCTCCTCAGATCACAATACTATGGAAGAACTGAAAAAACTTTCAGAACTAGCCCTGAAAAGAGAAGTGTGAAAAAGCCTGAAGTTAGAGACAATGCTTATCCTCCCATTCCATCGCACCAGGACCAGAGCCCAGCATTAATATAAAGTTTCAAATCAAGAAACAGGGTGGAAAAACGAATAAACCACAACAACAAAAAGAAAAAAAAACCCTGACCACAGAAAGCTCACAGGGAACATCAAGACATAAATACAAAAGAAGACAATGGAGTAAAAAACAGCTAAAAGCAAAGCCTCAAAGAAAAAATGGGAATTGGACATGAGCCCCACAAGAATTCTTAGAAGAGAAAAAAATATTTTCAAAATCAAACAAGAGAGATAGAGAAACAATTAGGTAAAAAAAATGAAAGCAAAATAAGAAAATTATGAAGAGACAATTGACAGCCTGGAAGAAGAGGCACACACTCAAAAGAAATTGTAGAAAATAACACCTTAAAAAACAGAATTCGTCAAATGGAGAAAAAGATACAAAAATTCACTGATGAAAAGAAATCCTTAAAAAGCAGAATTGGCCAAATGGAAAGATGTACAAAAGCTTGCTGAAGAAAATAATTCCTTAAAAATTAGAATTGGGCAAGTGGAAGTCAATAGCTCAATGAAATATCAAGAAACAATAAAACAAAGTAAGAAAAAAAGAATAAAAAAAAGAAAATGTGAAACATCTGATCAGAAAAATAACAGATCTCAAAAACAGATCAAGGAGAGATAATTGAAGAATTATTGGATTACCTGTGAAAACCATGATCAAAGAAAAAGCCTAGACATCACTTTTCAAGAAATTATCAAGAAAAACTGACCTGATATCCTAGAACCAGAGAGCAAAATAGAAATTGAAAGAATCCAGCAATCATCTCCTGAAAGCGATCCCAAAATGAAAACTCACAGTAATATTACAGCCAAATTCTAGAGCTGCCAGATCGAAGAGAAAATAAAGAGATAGAAAGAAACCACTCAAATACCATGCAGCCACAGTTAGGACCATATAAGATTTATTAGCTACCACAAAAAAGGAGCATAAGGCTTAGCATTTAACATTCCAGAAGGAAAAAAATTTGAGATTACAACCAAGAATAACCTACCCAGTAAAACTGAATATAATGCTTCAAGGGAAAAAATAGACATTTAATGAGACAGAGGACTTTCAAACATTCTTGATAAAAAGACCAGAGCTGAACAGAAAATGACTTTCAAATACAAGACTCATAAAAAGCATAAAAAGGTAAACATGAAAGAGAAATCATAAGTGACTCAATAAGGTTAAACAGTTTACCTTTCTATATGGGATATGTTTCTTTAAAGAACTTTATCATTTGTAGGACAGTTAGCACGATTCTGCATACATAAGAGTGCAGGAGTGAGTGGATTATGTTGGGATGATATAAAAAAACATAGAAAGGCAAGAAAGATGCCCTGGGAAAAGGGAAAAGGGAGAGGAAGAATGGGGAAAATTATCACACATAAAAGAGTCATGAAAGGAAGAACGTTTTGAGTGGAGGGGGAAATGGGGAGAAGGGAATACTTAAACCTTATTCTCAACTATATTGGTTCAACAACAGAAGAATATACACACTCAGTTATATATAGAAAGCTATCTTACCCAACAGGGAAGTAGCAAGAGAAAAGGACAAAGAAAAGGAGAGGAGTAAGTCATAAAAGGGAAAATGAATAAAAGAAAACAGTGGTCAGAAGCAAAACAGACTTTAGAGGAAGACAGAATAAAAAAGAGACAGAAAGGTATCTATCTATCTAAGTATATCTATACATCCATATAGAGAGAGAGAGAAAAAAAAGAGAGAGAGAGAGAAACAGAAGAAAATAGGATGGAGGGAAGTGTACAGTTAGTAATCATGAATGTGAATGAGATGAACTCACCCATAAAATGGAAGCAGATAACAAATGGATTAGAAACCAGAATCCAACAATATGTTGTTTACAAGAAACACAGTCAAAACAGAGAAATACACAGAGTTAAAATAAGGAGCTGGAGAAGAATCTACTATGTGTCACCTGAGCTAAAAAAAAAAAGAGAGGAGTAGCAATCATGACCTCAGACATAACAACAGCAAAAATAGAATTAATAAAAAGTGATAAGTAGGGAAACTACATCTTGCTGAAAAGCACCGTAAACAATGAAGTAATATCAACAGAAAATACATACCCACCAAATGGCACAGCATCCAAATTCTTAAAGGAAAAGTTAAATTAATTACAGGAGGAAATACTAAAACTATACTAATGGGGTACCTCAACTTTCCCCTCTTAGAGCTATATTTAACCATAAAATAGATAAAAGAAAAGTCAAGGAAATGAATAGAATCTTAGAAAAGTTAGATATGACAGCCTTCTGGAGAAAATAAAATGGGAATGAAAAGAAATATACCTTTTTCTCAGCTGTGTGTGACATCTTCACAAAAACTGATCATGTATTAGGGCATAAAACCCTCACAACCAAATGCAGAAAAGCAGAAATATTAAGTGCACATTTCAAAAACTATAATGCGATAAAAATTACATTTAATAAATGGCTATGGAAGCACAGATTAACAGTTAAATGGAAACTAAATTATCTAATCCTAAAGAATGAGTGAATCAAAAACAAATGATAGAAACAATCAATGATTTCATTAATAAGAATAACAATGACACAACATTTCAAAATTTATGGGATGCAGCAAAAACAATACTATGGGGAAGATTTACAATTTACATCTCTAAATGCATACATAAATAAAAGAGAGAAAAAGTAAATCAATGAACTGGGTATGCAATTTAAAAAAACTAGAAAAAGAAAAAAACTAAAAATCTCCTACTAAATACCAAATTGGAAATACTGAAAATCAAAGGAGAGATTAATAAAACTGAAAATGTAAAACAAACAAACAAACAAAGAAACATTGAACTAATAAATAAAATTAGGGGCTGGTTTTATGACAAGGTCAATAAAATAGATAAACCATTGGTTAACTTCATTTAAAAAAAGAAAAAAACTAAATTACTAATATCAAAATTGAAAAATGGATAACCAATGACGATGAAATTAAAGCAAATAAGAGTTATTTTGCCCAATTACATACCAATAAAATTGATAATCTAAGTGAAAATGGATGAATATTTACAAAAATATAATACTGCCCTGATTAACAGAAAAGGGAATAGAATACTTAAATAAACTTGTCTTAGAAAAAGAAATTGAACAAGTTATCAATGAACTCCC